TTTTCGTCAAAACTGTTGACGAAAACTAAATTTCAATAGAAAAATTTTTTTGTTAAAATTTCGACGAAAAAATAATTTTGTGACGAAATTTTCGTCTTTTGCAACGTAAAAATTTCGACAAAATTTTGTGAGAAAACCAAGTCAAAAACGGGTCAGGTCAGATTTGACCCAGTTCAGAAACCAAGTCAGACCCACTTCAGAAACCAAATCAGGTCAGATCCAAACTGGTTCTGAACTAGTTCAACAAAATCCAATCCAAGTCAGACCCGACTTGGATCAAATGAAAGCGGGTCGGGTCAAAATACCTGACCTATAAAAATCAAGTTGGGTCGAGTCGGACAAAAACCTGACCCGACCTGACCCATGCACAACCCTAGACACAAAGCAATAAAATATTCTCTCAACCCTAAAATGAGCTTGTAACATATAGTCTGATATTCGAATGAGTTGACATCTCATTTCTTAAACTTCTTTTCCAAAAACAAATTAAAATAAAATAAAAATAATCTACGTGTACATAATTAAAAATCTACGTGGGCTTTTAATTAATTGAGCTATATTATCACATCTATCAGCATGGTTAGTGGAGTATGGTAACATTTAATGATGCCACGGTTTAACTATACCAGAAAGAAAAATACAAATTGCTTTAATATAAAAGAAAATTGAATAACATCTTGCACATATCACCGAGTTTTTTAAACAGTAAAATTGGATTATTTTTTTTTACTAGACCGTTAATATTTATTTATCATTTTATGTTTATCATTTCTTAATGTTATTATTTTTATACCGTCCAATCAAATTTAAATTTAATGTTATATATGTAACCTTTCATTCATCTTCTTTATTAATCGGATGATAATAAAATGAGATAAATATAAAGTGATTGTAAAGATAACATTTTTTAACCGTACATGTAAGATTGATATTGGCGTCATAATCTATTATTTGGAATTATTTAGTCAAAGCAGTCGCCATGCAAAACACAAGCCTTTTGAAAACCACCAAAAATAGTTATTAGAAAAATCAGTCTTGCCAATAACAGATACAACATGATAAGAGTGGTGAATTAAAAATGGCTTGTTTATAGCAAGCAATGACATTTGATGCCTGTGTTATACTTTTTAGTTTGGATGTGATTATAATTAATATGCTTATAATCACCAATTTAAAACTATTAAAATATAATCTTTACTAGAAAAATCAGTTTTGTCAATAACAGATACACTGGTGAATTAAACGGGCCGGACTTATCTCTCTCGAGGATTTTGCATTTTAATTATTATTATTTTTATTAATCAGTGTTTGAAACTTTATCGGGACTGACTAATCCGATTTCAGTACAAAGCACTTTAGTTTTACATAAAGAGCTATTAATCTCGTCAGATAAATACATTATTTTTTTTGTGCATTTTCTAACTTAAGTCAGAATATCTTGTAGACACATTAATTATCTCTTTTTTGAAACCCATGATATTTTATATTTATGTGACACTTTTAGTTTGTGATTATAATATGCTTGTAATATGGATATGTATTAAAGATGTAAATGGAATACATTCACTGTTTAAGTCTCACAAAATTATAGATTGAGATCAGCGGTGCACCGAAATTTTTTTTATAATAGGATGCAAAATAAAATTTTAAAATTATAAATATTATTAAAACTAATAGGAGAATTATTATAAATATTTTTTTAGAGAAAAACTAACTATAATAACATATTATTATTAAAAAATATTATTTTTATATAAAATAATAAAAAATTAAAATATAGGTAGCCAACGCCCCTCTCCCCCCTTCTCGATCCGCCGGATGAGATATTATTATGTTAAGAAATATAGCATTCAATATAGATGACTTGTTTATATGAAGTTTTATATATGAGTTAAGTGTGTATCTTTTTAGTTTTTAATATTATGTTATATAATATGGAAGGATCCATTTACAATTTTTTTTTATAAATTACACTACGTATGACCGGTCATACACTCTTGATTAAAGTATGACCGGTCGGTCATACTTAATATAGTTTGTAAGAGTTTGTAAATAAAAAGTTTATAAATATAACTTTTCTCAATTATAATATGAAAAAATTATTCTTTTTCTCTGTTCAAGTCAGTTGAAGTGATTGAGGAGAGAGAAAAAAAAAGAAAAAAATAACTTTAATTTCATATTATAATTATGTCTTATCGGTAAGTCATAATATTAAATATTAAAAACATACAAGGTTCTGTCATTTAAAAGCATCCACCTTTTTTCCCCTTTATATATACGATGAAAATTTTTCTTTTTTGTGTTTTATATTCATAGTTTCATAATTTGCCAAGTGTTATGGTGTGATATGGTTTGGGGTTGAAACTTCTGTAAGGACATAACGGAAAATTTGATATTTGAGTTAATCGCTAAATATGTTATTTGAAAATTGAAATCGAACCAGAATTCAACTATACATATTGGGTGAAGACTTATATCTCTGATGGAGTTCATATATAATAACTGTTACGAGCCAATTATTCATTTAAATAATACCTTACGGTCTATTATAAGAACTAGTATTAATTATGTTTCAAAAAAAAAAGAAAAAAAGAAATAGTATTAATTGTTGATTAATAATTGTTCTAATTAAAATTATATATAATTGAGTACCTTCTAGATACTTGTCAATAGCTTAATTCATTACAATATTTTGTCGTTTCCTCTTACTCGAGAGTACTCTATTGGTCGTATCCCAATCTTTAATTTTTCCTATTCAAGTTTTGTCATACAATAAGCGCATTACATTACATGTTTGCCACTTGGCTTTACCCACTTGTTATAGAATAATTAGTATCCTTTTATTTATATAACGTATTTCGTAATAATTTTCAAATAAAATAAGATTTGAATGTATTAAAGTATTTAAATTTATTTAACACTGATCGAGTTTTATATTTATTTAAACGATAATGAAGTGTAGGTACAAATTGAACATGATAGTCAAGTATAAGGACAAAAAATGTAGTGTTTCTAATCTTTATGCTTAATACTTATTTTTAATTTGATTCCTATACTTTATTGTATTATGCCCCCTAAAGATAATACTATAACAGATGCATACGGCAAGGGAAAAATGTTTAGTGCTATGGGCCCATGTGCTCATTCATCAATGGATTGACACTTGGATAAAAAAATAATTCTCCTTTTTTCTCAATTATTGTCCATATTTGATTGGTCGGGATCACTGAGTCAATGGTGCTCCGGGAGTGCCAAAATTCTTTTCTACGACAAGAATCAAAATCAGAAATAATATTATGTATAAAAACTAATTTTAAACTATTTAATTGGTATAGAGACCAAATTAAAAATGAGAACCACACGTAGCAACCAAATATATATATATTTTTTGGTAAGCTCCAAAAATATATTTTAACTTATTAATAAAAATCAAACTGATAAAGAATATGTCTATTGTGTGAGGACTTTGAAACTAAAAAAAAAAGTAGGTCGGTTCTATATTTAATATGAATAAGAGTTGTTTAGCAAAAAAAAAATATGAATAAGAGTTTAATTTGCATTCATGTAATAATATTTTACATATTATTAGTTTTCATCACTTCATCCTCTTATTAATTAAAATAAAATAATAAATATTAATGTCAAAATATTACTAAATATCAGTACAAATTTAATTTTTTATACATTAACAATAGTACAACACATACAATTTTTATAGTTAAACAATGCATACAAATTAAGTTCTGATCGGACCAGATACGGTTGGGATGGCCCAATGCATATTAAGCTCAAATCACACACGGTTGAGACTCCTTGGAAGGTTATTGGCCTGGGCCTGGTATTGTTGTTGGGGGATGAGTCTGAGCTCTTTGTCCTTCGTCCTTCACGTTGCTCCAGATGGGGGTACCTGCGAAGACACTCCGATGTTTAAGTCAGTATCAGAGGCAGGTGTTTATATTGTGAAAGTAAAGGATGATCGTGACTTAGTGGTACAACGTATGTTTATATAGTAGTCAAGATGTATGCTTGTAGGATACCTTTCTTCATGGTGAAGGCAAAGGTTCCTTGGTACCAACGTAGTGTGGCTGTCAGTGTTTAAATGTTGAGGAGCTTGCTGCCATGGTGTCTAGTAGTAGAGTCATAGCGAGCTGGAGCTGTCCGTAGTTTACTGGTGTGAGGGCGCGGTGGTGTTGCCTTGGCCCTTAAGTTTATTGTCTGTAGACGGTATCTTGTTGCGTGGGGAACAAGTACATCCTGCATGTCCTGAGGAGGTATTGCGCCGTGTAGGACGCGATAGGGTCATCGTGCTGGTGTACCGCGATAGGGTTATCGCACTGGTGTACCGCGACAGGGTTATCGCGTCTGTGCCTGCCTTTTATGCCTTTATTCTGGGTCCTATATGGGCTTGGGCTTTCATGTGTTTATTGGACCCTGGTTAGGCCTATATTATATCCGGATCAAGTTCTATAGCTAAATAATTAAACAGTGATGCTACTGTTTAATTTGTACAGGTATATATGAACAAAATCTTATATAATATAACACAATGAAAAGAGCAATCCTGTAAAGTCTAAATGATTTCTTGTGGTCCCAATATTATATCTTGCCAGTTCCACTTTTGGACACAATAATTGTTTACATAAATCCAAAATTTATCATTGAATAATTGAATGGTTATTAAAATATTCATTCATTGATTTCGTAATCAACTTCCTACCAATTGCATTTTACTATAATGAGGAAGGGTATAGTGGCAATCTGAGTTTTATTATGTCATAAAAGTGAACTAATTTTAAATGTATTGGTTCTGGTGACCATGGTCCATGGCCACCGCATTAGTCTAACACCATAAAAATATAAATACAGCTAATGGGACACCAATAAAAATAAAAATAAAAATAAAAAATTGCATTGTGCTATATAAGTTGCTAAGCCTGCTTTTTATCAACTGCACTGATGCATAAGATCAACTTTAGGAGTTCTCTTCAGTGTGCAAAAAAATGGAGGATTCATTGGAGAATTGGGTTTCTCATTTGGTAATAGCACTTCCATTATACCATTATCAGCATACTAAAAATTTCTTAGAGCAATATGATTTGACTTTATCTTTATATTTTATTACTTAATTTTTTTCTTCTATTTGGCATGTCCAATTTTCATAGGAAATGGAAGATAATATCTTTAATCAAAGTCATAACTCATTACATGAGGAAGAGTTCCTCAAAGAGATCCTTAAGCAGCCAGATTTTTCACCTGAAAGTGAATGTCCCTCCTTTTATCCTTGTTCTACAATCCAAAACAACACTTCTCTAGACATTGTTGAAGGTGGGGATGCTACTAGCCCCACCAAGAGCGGTTTGTCCTTTGATGAGACAAGCTTTGATGGGAATGGTACCCTGCACAAAAGTAACACCACCAACACCACTTTATCTTCAGAAACTTATGCCTGTTCACTTAAATGTGCAAAAATGGGAGATTCATTGGAGAATTGGATTTCTCATAATTTGGTAATAGCATTCTCATCTCATATTATCATCAGCATACTATAAATTTCTTAGTGCATAATTTGACTATCTTTATGAACATATATACCTTGTATTACCTACAAGTACATAACTTTATTATTTTTCTCTTTTTCATGTCCAAATTGTTATAGGAAATGGAAGATGATATCTTCAATCAAAGTCATAACTCAAGTCATGAGAACCAAGAGTTCATTAGAGAGATCCTTGAGCAGCCAAATTTCTCACCTGAAAGTGAATGTCCCTCCTTATATCATTGTTCCACAATCCAAAACAACAACACTACTGCTATAGGTATTGTTGAAGGAGGTGCTACTAGCCCCACCAAGAGCAATTTGTCCTTTGATGAGACAAGCTCTGATCATGGGAATGGAACCCTTCACAAAAGTAACAGCTCCAACTCCATCATGTCTTCTGAAAGATGTGGCTGTTCTCCATCCACATACCTTCTATCTTTTGATAACTCAAGTGTTGAACCAATCATCCATGAACCTTCCCCAAAGCATAATTCAGCATTTGGAACCAAAAAAAGGACTATAGGGAAAGAGGGGTTTGGATTTGAACCAAGTTTGCTCCAAGCAACAAAGAGGATTAGAAGGTCATCTGAAACAAAAGATCACATAATTGCTGAGAGGAAAAGGAGGCAGGAACTGACTCAGAACATCATAGCACTCTCAGCATCCATACCTGGGTTGAAGAAGGTTAGTTCTTAGATGAATTAATTAGTATTAAAAAACTTAGATAAATGCCCTTAATTTTTTAGTTTTAACATGTCTTATTACTTAAAAAATCTTTGAAAACTTTTTGGGTTTAAAGCATGAATTTAATGTATAAACTCACTTATCTTATACTTAAGTTTAACTTTTCATTTTATTTTAAAAAACAAAAACGATAATGTCATATCATAAACTAGCTCTTTAAAAAAAAAATTAAAATATTAGGTGGGCACACATATTTTATGGCGCCTCTCAAGTTACAGCTCCTATATTCTGCCTTGAGCTTTTCAATAATTTTTACGGTTTAATATTTCTCATGTATGCACGTATAAAAGTATGTGGAGCTCATGTGAGAAAAAGAGAGAAAGAAAAAATACAGTTCCATACACTTTTATTTATGTAGAAGATAAATTTATCTCCTATAACATGACAAAGAATAAACCCAACTTTTATACACTATAGGAGAATTCTTATTCTAAGAGAAAAAATATGTGTCATTTTAAAGGACACAAACTTAGATCATTTTAAAAAAGAGATAGAGATAAAAAAATATGGGTCTCACTAAAAAAACAAAGTTTACTTCTATTTAAAAAACTTAAATTATACAAATATGATGTACTTGCACTGCATGTTAATATAGCCGTCTTTAGGGAATATTATGAGTTAATTTTAATGATTGTATATTGTTTTAATTAGTTGTATATACTTATTTTTAAATTATGGTTTGAATGACCATTTTTTTTAGTAAAAGCATGACTATAAATAAAAAGTGCAATACTTTTGCTATAAATTTTTTTAATAATAAGTGCATACCAAATTCATAGTTACATTATTTTTTAATTATTATCACACTTTGAAGAATTGTTAATAATTAAAATAAAAGTGCAATTATTTCGTTATAAAACTTAAATAATAAGTGCATATAGTATTGTTTTGTTATAATAAGAATACTTAGTCATGTCATTTTTTTGTGTTTATCATATTTTGAAGAATTGTTAATTTGTTATTCTGAAAATAAAATTAAAAATGACACCTTAAATTAAAAAATATACTAACATACAACGTCGGTGGTATTTTAATTAGTAAATCTTATACATTATGTTTTTTTTTTTTTGGTAAACTATACATTATGTTTTAATTGCAAACATCAGTACTGTAATTGTCTTCTTAAAATATGTTTTTGTTTTACGTGCATATAATATTTTTATTGACTCAATTTTCTGTTATTGTTCCACTAATTTAATACATTAAGAAAACTTATGTATAAATTAAACAGAAAAATATTTCTGCAATTAATGCAGATAAGTTATCTGTATTTACTTCCAAAACGATGTCGGTTTGGGATTGAAAGATTAGAAAATTATAATTATAAAGACTATAATAATCTTGAAATAAATTAAAATTACAAAAATATCATGATTTTCGTCCCAAAACGACATCATATTTCGTTTACTGCAGATAACTTATCTGTACTAACTGCAAAAAAAAATGAACTGTAAATTAGATCAGTAGTTTTGTTAGAATCAATGACCTGGATTTTGATAATTCACAAGGAAAAGATATATAGAGTAAGAATGAGAAACTATTCTTTTACATAATTTATTTTTTTTACACATATTTATATTAAAATAATATTCAAGAATTGGTTGATTTTTGTATCCTTTACATATGCAAGAATTAGAGTGACATAAATATAATATTAAAAAATACGATAATATGTGATATACAAATATTTGCATTCATTAATATATTAAAGGTTCTAGGATTTGAATCGCTATTATTGTACGTAAAGTTTTTTTTTTTTTTTTTTATAACATATGAAATCGTAATCTACTTTCACAATTTTTTAATTGTATTATTGAAAGAAACATGCCACAAGCAAACTAATCAATGGCACCGGGACAAAATACAAATGATGCTGCTTTTCATGGTCCACTTCTTTATCTGAATATTATATTCAATTCCCGAAATCATAGAATTATCATTGTTTTTATATAAACTGTAAATTGAAAATTCATTTATATAAAAACTTAATGGCGCTATGCTTAAATATGCATGTTAATTAGAAAGAGATTTTCAAGTATTCGAAACTTATATGTACACATACCAAACACATCTTTAAAGAAAACAAATTTGCATACATATATAATTATGAAAAAAGTGTGTGTCATTTTAAAGGATATAAAGTTGTGTCATTTGAAGTAAGAAAAAGATAAATCATGAGAGAGAGAAGACAAAAAAATAAATAAAGGTATGGATCTCACCTCTTTGTCAGAGTGAAAAGACACAAGTTATATTATTTAAAAAGGAAAAAAGTTTCTGCAGTTAATGCAGATAAGTTATCTGCATTTATTCCCAAAACGACGTTGTTTTGATATTGAAATCTTAAAAAATTATAAATATAAAGACTATTATAACCGTGAAATAAATTAAAATTACAAAATACCATGATTTCCGTCTCAAAACGATGTCGCATTGGGCTTACTGCATATAACTTATCTGCAGTAACTGCAGAAAAAGCGAACCCTATTTAAAAAGACAAATATTCTTCCTTATAATATGAGTTGTTTTTTCTACGGTCAATGTAGATAACTTATCTATATTGAGCCAAAACGATGTCATTTTGAGGTGAAAATTAAGGTGTTTTTGTAATTACAATTTATTTCAAGGTTATAATAGTCTTTTTTATTATAATTTTTTAATTTTTAACCTAAAATTGATGTCGTTTTGAGAGTGAATGTAGATAACTTATACGTTCACGGTAGAAATATTAAAGCATGGAACATTTTCTTTCTTTCTTTTATCAAACATTTTAATTATAAATAACTTTAATATCTGGGTTGCAACATGTAGCACCTAATTTATTTATTTTTATTTATATAATTATAACTATAGATGGACAAGGCTTATGTACTTCGTGAAGCTGTCAATTACACGAAACAACTTCAAGAGCGTGTTAAAGAGCTGGAGAATCATAACAAAAATAAAAGAGTAGATTCAGCAATATGGATCAGGAAATCTCAAGCCTCATCAAATAAAAGCACCATCGATTGTGAAACGAACTCAGAATCACAACTTGAGGTTGAAGCAAGAGTCCTAGAGAAGGAAGTGCTTATTGGAATCCATTGTGAGAAACAAAAGGACATAGTGCCCAAAATACACGTCTTGCTTGAAAAGCTCCATCTCTCTATAACCAATAGTAGTGTATTACCATTTGGGACTTCTACTCTTATAATCAACATTATTGCTCAGGTATGAAATTAACAATGCAATTTTTTCTTTGATCCAATAAAATGTTATTTCATTTCAAGTGTATTATGTTGGGTTTTTTCCTCCTTCAATGCTACACAAGGCCCAATGTTACTTTTGTGGGGCTCAAGAAACTCTAGTTCCACTTTTGATATTCTAGAATCTTTCTTTTTGTCCTATATAAGCTTGTGTTATATGAGAAGTTAGAGCTAGATAATTTGAGACAATTTTGAGAGCACATTTAGGGAGAAGTTTGAACGTTAGACCTCCTTAGGAAAGTTTGAGTGAATATCACCATTGAAAGTGATGTTTATGTGTACCATCATTTATTGATGAAGTTTGATATCTTGTACCTATTATTTTCACATTGAAAGTTTGATTATAAACTAATATCTCGTTGATTTTTACTTTTTTTATATTGAAGAAGGTTTCTCTCCCCTGCATTCTTCTATTTTCGCTGTGTATAGGCTGACCTGGTGATTCAGGCAGACCTTAGAGAGCCGAGCTCTGAGCTCGACATTTGACTTGCGACACATTTCTGTGCTGAGTTGAGAGAACCGAGTTCCAAACATATTATCCTACAATATTGGTTCTCATAGTTGATATTTATGTTCAAACTTAATTGTATATGAATTAAATAATTTGTAATGTTAAGGTAACGTGAAATTCTAATTTGTAATAACTACGATGTAGATGGATGGAGAATACAGCATGAGCATGGATGACCTAGTGAAAAACCTGAGAGAAGATCTGTAGGAGGCATATGCCATGCAACAGTGACCGTGATAGTGCGTCAAAGAAATTCTCCAATTGTAATTTTTGATGGGCAGAGGATGCTATGGAGAAGCTTTTGCACCTCGCATTGGTGGTTAGGTTTGTTTTCTTGTTTGTGACATAAAATGAAAAAAGCCTCGAGTATGTTTGTTTGTTCAAATGCTATTGTAAAAACGTCTTAAATTATGTATACAAGTCTATTTTCTTCTGCTACCATCGCTTCTTGAATTGGAGAGAATCTCAATTGGGTCTTGTGCTTAAAAGGACAAAGTTATAAACATATTTCATTCAAAAATATTAAGCCATCCCAAAAAGCCAAGGATGAAAACACGATGCTGCACGTGCAATGTTAAGGATAAAAACATGCACAATCCCCCTCTCGTGAGAATAATGGAAGGGGGAGCTTAAAACTCTCGTAAGCTGTACACTTCTAATATAGGCTAAGCGACAAATCATGATGAGTGGATTTGATATCATATTTTGAGTCAAATTTTTTTTTTTTTTGAAATATTTTATCGGTTCATCGCTTCGCGAATAATCTAATGTAGGACAAATTCAGACACCTCCCAAAAGTGATATTGAGGAGGATCGAATACTTGCTCTCACACCTACTTACTTAACTCATATATGCTAACTGAGCTACCACCATTTGGTTGACTCAAAACTTTAAGACAATATATTTATGGGTTTAATATTTCTCCTGAAGATAAAGTTATTTTCAGTAAATTCAAAACGACATTGTTTTAGGTTGGAAAAAAAAAATAATGATAAAAATTAATATAACCTCAGAATAAATTAGAATTATAAAAATATATTTTTTCCAATCTCAAAACAATGTTGTTTTGAGTTCACTGGATATAATTTATCTCCAAAGACAGGAGGAACATTAAACCAGATTTTTTCCACTTATATCATCCTCCTATGATTTTTTTCTAGTGAATGTAGAACTTCTCGTACACATTTTAATTTCATTTCTGATCAGACTAATACAATATGGGCTGGTCAATATATATCGGGCCCAATCACACACAGTTAATGTGAGAAGACTTTGGATTGGATTATCTGCGTCTTGGATTGTTGATGGCTGTTTGTAACGAGATGAATGTGATTATCATTTGGCGTGATGTGTCTGACTAGGGTGGGTACTTGCAATGACACTATAACGCTCAAGTCAGTATCAAATTCAGACTTATGTGGTATTCTTACTGAATTAGATTGTCATACCTGGGTATGTACCCTTTGTTTATATAGTGGATCTGATGCCGCCTTGGGTAGGCGGTATGCCTTCTGATTGGCTGTTCATGGGCTGCATGTTCTGTTAGTGCCTTTCTGGCCTTATTTCTATTATGTCAAACTATCTGAGTAGAGTGGTGACAAGCTGGAGCTGTCCTTTATGTATTGGCGCGGTGGCTTCTTATGCGTGTTTTGTTAACCTATTTTTTAACTCTGAAGTCATATTTAATCGCGGCCCCTAATTCTTTATGCGTGATATACATATCGCGCATTGTTTTGGCCCTATGTGTTTGGACCTTTAATCTCTTGGGTTTTAGCCCTTGGTGGGGGCGATCGTATTTTATCAAGATCAATTTCTAACATCTCATCAAAATAGTAATAAAATATAAATAAAAGCAAGTACAGGACAAGATTTTAAATGTGAAAAACTCTTACAATGCATACGGTAAAAATCACGGGACTCGAGACAGTCCAAAAACAAGATTCCACTATGATCACGAGTTGTTTATGATCACCACATTTTAGTTATCAATGCTTACAAAAACCCTGCAACATGGACAAATTACAAAGCATAGTTTTTCTTACAATGACATATGACATTGTTTATTTGCACTAAGAGATTTGTTTAAGCCTGATTTTTTATGTTAGTTTTTTGCTTTATTTATTAATTTAAATGCAATTTTGTTTCTGAATCAATCTTTCGATATATTTTGACATGTGGATGAATCTTTGAGCACAAGGAAGGGAGCAGTTGAAATAATATGTAGAGGTGTGCCAGTAGATGAGCAAATGTGGGTTGCCCCTTAAACAAAAGATGCGAATTTTGAAAATTTAGTCATAAAATATTGGGTGTTTGGTTTTTCTTTTATAATTATTTAAAAAACTCAAAGTATTAAAAAAAACACCTATATTAAACATTCACATTATTTTGTTTCTTAATGTTCATCCAAACCAATCTTAATTTTATAGATATGATTTTATTTTAATCTAAAGTTCCTATAGAATTTTTTTTAAATCCACTATTTAATTATAAATTGTCATGTCATGAAAAGAATTCCATTAATTGTACCAACTATAACTTTTAGTGCACAATGACAGAATTAAATTTAATTGATAATACTAATATATTTTTTTCCTTTTTGAACTTTGTAGTTAACTTTTAATTAACCAATTATTCTTAAATTTGTCTTGGCCTGACATTTTGTTAACTTTCTCTCAATAAAATACACTTAGTTGACAAGTGTGGCGTTTGTTGACAAAGAAACATAGTACGCAGAGAAAAAATCAATCTCTGAACGATACAAATCATTGATTTGAAACAATTATTGAGTGGGAATAGCTTTGAGTGGAACATGCATTTGTCATCAATTGAATAAGATCCTATTAAAGACTAGCAAATTGTCTCTCGTACATTTAGTAGTGCCGTTTAAAAAGTTTCACCCCTATGGAGCCTATAGATCTAGCACGATATAAAGATTTACGAAACTTTTAGAAACATTAAACATATAAAAAGTTGTACCAGCTGTTCAATTATACTTAATTTTATAAAGTATATATATCTCAAAAAAAAAAAAAAAAGGATAAGCTTAAGACAGTTTTCCAGGTTAGTTTCCTTAAAACCTTTCCACCATGATGCATACATAACAGGACATTTACAGGTTAGCACCTAGCAGATCACAAATATAGCAATATAGCATAGTAAAAAGCAAAACTTAAAATTATGGTCCTTCACCAGTTCTTCACTGACAAATTCATTTCCGAACAGTTCACATTATTTTCAATAACCAGCCTCTTCACTCCAATTCAAATGGGAAAAAAGGAAAAGATAAAAGAGAGACCAGATTCCAGAAACATCCAGTGAAAGAAGTACAAGGCAGGTTGCAATGATGTTAAGTTCAACATGTAACTAAATAGGAAAAAACACAACATTAGTTAACTAGCCATGGGATGGTTAGAAATATACTCAATAGCAAGATCACAAGAGTCAATTTTATCAGCTTCCTTGTCTGGAATCTCCAGCTTGAACTCCTCTTCTAGTGCCATTACAATTTCCACGTTGTCCAAGCTATCCAAACCCAAGTCCTTCTGGAAATGTACATCTGGAGCCACCTGAGGAGGAGGAGAAACCAGTAAACCCAAAAATATATGATCTGCAATGCTTACCATTTACAACAAAGCTGCATGACCAAATATGCAAAATGGAAGAATAGGCATAAAATCAAATTCAAGTGGACATTAGCAATATTTTTATAGAAGAAAAAGAACATGTAAGTGCTAGATATAGGCAAGACAATAGGGCTGTGCAAAATAACTGAACCGAACTAAATCGAACCACATTTTTTGGAACCGGTTTTGAGAACTAAACTGGTTTTATAAACCAATTTAAAAATTAAACTGAACCAAAAGAACCGGTTCGAAACCAGTTTGCATACTTGAATGGATACCGAACTGGTTCGGAAAAAGAAAAAAAATTCGGTTAAGAACTGAGCTGGTTTAAACCAATTCAATTTGGTTCAGTCAAAAAAATGGTTTGGGTCAACCCATGCCCACCCTTACAAAACAACCACACAAAAGTTTTAAAAAAGAAAAGATAAATAAGCTCTTTCATGACTTATATGCTCAAAAGATGTTTTGAAAACAAATTTGGAAGTTTCCAAAAAGAAAATTAGTTTATTTGAGCGGGAAGAACACATAGATAGTTCATACCATCATCCTTAGTGGCATATTATAACATCCCGCATTTCATTATGATGTTAAATGGCTTGAGGTTGGAAGAGTTTCAGATCAACTTATGCATATTCTGGACATTTCATGAGTGCATTGACTGAGGAAAAGTGTAATTGACACTACCCAGATTTTCTCAATGAGTGCAAGAGAACCAAGAGACTATTGAACATATAGCAACACATTTATTAAATAGAGTATTATAGTTGGTAGAAGGATCCTGATTCCTGAATCATGAGGAACTAAAATTTTACGGTTAAAGAAGATTTTTGATAATTATCTACAAAAAAGGAGGATGGTAAAGAGCCCGAAAAAAATGGGTAGTGGATTTCCAGCTGATGCATAATTTGATGCAATATTTTCTCCTACAGCTGAAAAGTGAATGCAAGCATCAGAAAATTACTCAAATTCATGAGGGTAAAAAAGGTGCTGGAGTAGGGCGAAAGAGAACCAAGAGAGTATTTCACATTTAGTTACACCTTAATTTAAACATCTATTATTTTTGGCAGACTGGTGCTTAATTCCAAGGAACCAGTAAACAAGATATTTGTTAATCTAATTCTGCTGGTAAACAAGATATTTGAAATGGATTTGGCTCCTCTATACTGAGCCTCACTTTAGAGGGAAAAGGGATCTTAACCAGTGTTAATATTACATGCACAAGCATAAACAAATCATAGATTTATTAAATCCACTCCCTTGATTTCTTCATCAATGGTTGTGGCCCCTCACTTTTATTTCTAAAGTGAACCCCTCACTTTGAAGGAACCAAATTCTTTGATAATAATTAGGAAAAACCCAGAAGTAACGCGCATTCATATCCACTGAAACAGATAGAGGGGGGGGCGAGGAAGTGCAATACCAGCATTTTCTGCAGCTGATTTTTTAGGAGGTATGGGAATAACCCAGTTTCAAATTTTTATATATTCTCTTCTCAGGTACTATGAATATGAGTGTTGTTTTTCAAGCAGTGGTTAGAACTAGAACACTTAGCTGATATATGAAAGTTTAAACTGTGTCAAATGATATGAGTAGGATAGATCATAGAATGTGAAAACAGACTGTCTAAGATTGTGAATTTACTGGCTGCGAGCAGATTGTCATTTCAGAAGTAAGACACCAAATTATCTAATTGTGTATAAAAGTGAGCTCATAAATTTTGAACAATTGTAAACTCAAACTGAATAAGATTATAGATATTGTTAACAAAGTAAATGTATTGCAGAGTGAAAATTGTTATCAGCTTATGAAGAGAATTCGAATACATGTGGATTGTGAAATTGTTAGGCATCCCACAGTTACTAAAGTGTTTGTTGCAAGGCAGAAAAGGGATTTGGGGTTTCAAAAAACGTAGCCTTTGTTGCAAGAGTGGGAAGCAAATGAGGAAACCGTTAAGGAGAAGAATTAAAGGAAGGGAATTAACGCCTTTGGGAGGGAAGGAATTAATTTGGTGTATGAATTAAGAGATCTAGCTCTGAAGTTTCTGATTTTGGGGAAATTACTGTTGTTAGTAGCTGTGTATGAATTATGGGAGGAAACAAATTATCAAAGTCTAGTAATGGAGCATGTTCTATATATTTTGGTCTAACTTATTTTAAATAGGATGAAATCTTCTAATCTGAACAAGTATTGTATGTGTATTAGTGTTGTTTCAACTTAAATGGAACCAGAAAACTTTGAAATTTTCTTTATGTTTGAAATTTACATTGGAAACAATGCTCCTCTAAGCTCTCCATTTAACACTGAAAATTAAGTGCTGCTAATAATTTTGTAATGCCTCGTAGTAAGGATCAAACTCAACCCTTTTACTATCAACAAGAATAATTAGGACCTTAGATGGATTCGACATAAGGCTTTTATAGAAGGAAATATAAACCCCACCCCCCAAAAAAGAAAAAACTCAAACCACAAAGAAAATTTCAGCCAGAATTATGTTCAGGCTTCCATACAAAATTTTTACCAACAACCGTATCTGTATAAGCCTCCTCTCTACACTTACAGAATACAGAAGCATTTGAAGCAGAGAGTTCAGACCCAAGTGGGAAGGAGGTAAAAGGAATGAAAGGCCATCCTGAGCCCAGTCAAGAAATTACCTTGATTTTGAATAGACTAATCAACAAAATGTTACTTTGTGAACAGAGGGTGTTTGAGAAATGGGCTATGATTTCATAACTTTAATATTGTCTACAAGAACACAGCTAATTTGTTTTAAATTTTGAACTTAGGAAAAGTTTTTTTTAATAGGAAGGGGGAGAGTTAATAAGTACTACCTACGATAAAAACAAGGCAAGATAAAAGAGGTGTTAATCACCAAGAGACAAGAGGTATTCATTGTAATCCTTGTTATATTAAACTACACAACATTGGTGCTATTATATAGCAAACCAATTGAAGAATACAAAGAGACACACTCAATGTGGGACTTCTATACTATGTACAGCAACACTCCCCCTCAAGCTGGAGCATATAGATCGTATGCACCAAGCTTGTTACATATCTGGTCTATCCTAGGTCCTCTCAAAGACTTAGTAAATACATCAGCTAATTGATCATTTGAGTTGACAAAACGAGTGACTATATCTCCTAAGAGAACCTTTTCCCTAAGGAAATGACAATCTATCTCAATGTGCTTAGTCCTTTCATGAAACACTGGATTTGAAGCAATATGCAAAGCAGCTTGATTATCACAAATGAGAGATGTTGGGCCAGTGTCTCCAAACTTGAGTTCCTTCAGTAGCTGTTTTAACCAGATGAGTTCACAGGTAGCTGTGGCCATGGAGCGATATTCTGCTTCAGCACTTGATCTAGCAACTACACTTTGATTCTTACTTCTCCAGGAAATCAAGTTATCTCCAACGAATACACAATACCCAGAAGTGGATCTTCTATCAATAGGAGAACCTGTCCAATCAGCATCTGAGTATCCTACAACTCTGGTATGACCTTTGTTTTCATAGAGAAGACCTTTGCCAGGAGCAGTCTTGATGTACTTGAGGATACGGATTACTGCATTCCAGTGATCTTCACAGGGAGAATTCAAGAACTGACTTACTACACTGACTGCAAAGGAAATGTCTGGTCGAGTAACTGTGAGATAGTTCAGTTTCTCAACCAATCTTCTATACCTTTCTGGATCAGAAAATAGCTCCCCCTGATTTGGTAAAAGCTTGACATTTGGATCCATAGGAGTATCAACGGGCTTAGCATTTAACAATGTTGTTTCCTCAAGAATATCCATAGCATATTTTCTCTGTGATAGTACAATGCCATCTTTGGATTGGGCCACTTCTATCCCTAAGAAATATCGGAGTCTTCCAAGGTCCTTTGTTTGAAAATGATGGCACAAATGTTGTTTTATCTGAGTTATGCCATGAGTATCATTACCTGTAATGACGATATCATCAACATATACTACCAAATAAATAGAACCTGAATCAGAGTGTCTGTAAAAGACTGAGTGATCAGCCTCACTTCGAGTCATGCCAAACTGCTGCACAACAGTGTTAAACCTTCCAAACCAAGCCCGGGGAGACTGCTTTAGACCATACAAGGATCTTCGGAGACGACAAACTAGGTTAGACTCCCCCTGAACAACAAAACTAGGAGGTTGCTCCATATAAACCTCTTCCCGCAGATCACCATGGAAGAAAGCATTCTTTATGTCCAGCTGATACATAGGCCAGTGATGAATGGCTGCCATAGTAATAAAGAGGCGAACAGAAGTCATTTTTGCCACGGGAGAAAATGTGTCACCATAGTCAAGGCCAAATATCTGAGTATAACCTTTAGCCACCAAGCGGGCCTTAAGACGGTCCACCTGACCATCCGGACCAACTTTAACCGTGTATATCCATCGACAGCCAACAACAGACTTCCCAGAGGGAAGGGGAACCAGATCCCAGGTACCACTACTATGAAGTGCACTCATCTCATCAATCATGGCTTGTCGCCAACCAGAATGTGATAACGCCTCACCTGTAGTCTTAGGAACAGATACAGAAGAAAGAGAAGAGAGGCAAGCAAAATGGGATGGTGAAAGACGATGATAACTCAAATTTACTAAATACCTGGGAGGGGGACGAGAATCACGAGTACCTTTCCGGAGTGCAATGGGCACATCAATGTCAGACGGAAGGATCGGAGCTGCCGGAGGAGATGATGACGGAAGTGAGTCCACAGGAGCCTCAGTAACAATAGGGGCAGACTCGGTGGGGGCAGGGTCCTGGGGAACAGGGGGACGTTGCCGACGATGATAGACAAGGGGGGGAACAGGGGCGGGAATAGGGACGGGGACATCGAAAGAAGGAGATGGTGAAGGTATATAGTGAACTGAAACAGGTGGTAAAGGTAGCTGAGTAGCAACAGAATCACTGGGATGGGAGGAGGAGTCAAAGAATGGAATAGACTCAAAGAATGTAACATCCGCCGAGACAAAGTAACGACGAAGACTAGGAGAATAACAACGATAACCCTTTTGTGAGCGAGGGTAACCCAGGAAAATACATTTATGTGACTTAGCAGATAACTTGTCAATACCAGGACTGAGATTGTGGACAAAACAAGTAGAACCAAAGATGTGAGGAGTGAGTGGGTACAAAGGTTGATGGGGAAACAACACAGAATGTGGTACCTGATTATGAAGTACGGAGGAAGGCATCCGATTAATGAGATAACAAGCTGTGAGGACAGCATCGCCCCAATACTGGAATGGGATATGACCATGTAACAAAAGTGTCCGAGTAGTCTCAATTAGGTGACGGTTCTTGCGTTCAGCAACGCCATTCTGTTGAGGGGTGTGTGAACATGATGTCTGGTGAAGGATGCCGTGAGATGCAAAGAAGGTTTGAAACTGATGAGACAAATATTCACGAGCATTGTCACTTCGAAAAATGCGAATCGAAACACCAAATTGGGTAAGGATTTCATTAAAGAACTTGTTAAAAATAGAAAACAATTCAGACCGATTTTTCATTAAAAATAACCAAGTACATCGAGAATAATCATCGATGAAAGTGACAAAATATCTGTACCCCATAGTGGAAACGGTACGACTAGGACCCCAAATATCTGAATGAACTAAAGCAAAAGGAGACGAAGACCGACGACTGACACGATCGGGAAACGAACTACGAGTGTGCTTCCCTAACTGACACGACTCACAAGACAAACTAGATAAATTTGAGAAACGTGGGACCATCTTCTGGAGCTTAGCAAGATTTGGATGACCCAACTGAGCGTGGATAGTAAGCGGAGAATCCACAACAGAGCACACTGGAACAGAAGTTGAAAGCTGATAAAGGCCATTGGATTCAGATCTGACGCCAAGTGTCCTCCTCGAGCTCCGATCCTGCAAAATGACAGACTCTTTAGTGAAAGAAATAATACAGTCAAGGGATTGAGTCAAGCGACTAATGGAAATAAGGTTGAAAGGAGAATGAGGAACATAAAGCACATTCTCAATGGGAATAGAAGGAAAAAGGAGAACAGTGCCAATCCCTTGGGACTGAACCAGTGACCCATTAGCCATAGTGATACTGGGCAGGGGACCAGACGTACAGAGAGAGGTAAATAAAGACTTATTACCAGAAATATGGTCAGATGCACCAGAATCGAGAATCCATGGACCAAGAGAGGGTGAGTGAGAAACACCAGCAAAGGAATTACCCGTGTGTGCACTAGAGGCAGTGGTACCAGGAGGTGGTTGTGATCCAGCAATCAAGGCAGAGTCCGAGGCAGGAACAGTAGTCTGAGCAAAATGAGCGAAGCGAGGAGGGCGACCGTGAAGATCCCAGCAACGATCAATAGTATGGCCCGGCTTTTTGCAATGAGTGCAGAGAAAGCGTCTCGCGGAGAGTTTGCTTCCACGTGCAAAACCCTTGGAGACAAGGGCAGATGGGTCAATTGAAGAGGGAGCAGATACTGCAGGCTCCATAGAAGTCTTAGGTGGAATGCGAAGCAACGTAGACCAAACAGAGTCCAGCGATGGAACCAGCAACGAAAAGCAAAGAACCTCCTGTGAATAGTGACCAGCAAGGGAAAAGACACCGTAGGAAGCCGAAACGAAGTCGAAACAACAAAGTGAGGACAGATCCAAGTGCGCAAGGAGAAGACGAAGGGGACCGTGGTGGTCCGACGGCCAACCTGAGTGGGACGCGCCGCTGCAACAAAACGGGTTGCAGCCGCTGTTTGACGCGCGTTTAGGAGGATCTGAGGATGGGTCCTGGACAGAAAGGAGCGCCTTCTCGTGGCGATCAGATCGATATGGGTTTCACCGGAAAACTCGCCGGAGACGGCGGTGGACGGCGGTGGACAATGGTGCCTAATGGCGGCAGTGATCAGACAGGTCCGTAGACGATATATGGAAGCCGGAAACTGACAGATATGACTATTTCCGGGGAAAAAGAAAAAGAAAAAAATATTTTACTCAGCAGACAGTGGTCCACCGGAAAGAAAAAAAAAACGCGGATTAGGATTCCTCTTGTTAGGCTCTAGATACCATGTTAATCACCAAGAGACAAGAGGTATTCATTGTAATCCTTGTTATATTAAACTACACAACATTGGTGCTATTATATAGCAAACCAATTGAAGAATACAAAGAGACACACTCAATGTGGGACTTCTATACTATGTACAGCGACAAGAGGAAAAGCAGAAAGAAATGCTCATCAAAGCGAGGGGCCTGTCTTCCAGTCCTTCACTCCTTTGCATACCAAACCCGGTTTCAAAATGTAGATGTTATTTCCATATTTTGCTTGGGATTTTGTGCTATATAAACAAGCAAATGAGGGTAATTTAAACTATTTTATTGACATTGTCAGAAATTATGCTTTATTATATGATGGGAATCCAAAATGGCTTCCAAGTTAATATTTTGAAATAAAAACTACAGTAATTTAAATCTAAATGTACTAGCATGCACCACATATGAATAAGTATATTTAATCAAAATGCCATTTAGTAAACAACCTGTTCACTTATAGAGGTAAGATTGCATACATCTAACCCTTCCCACACACTACAATGATAGGAGCCCTGTGGACCGGGTCACCCATTTAGGAAGATATTTAAGGAAATCATAATCAAAATAATATGGGGTAAAAAGTTTGAGCCGCATTGTACCCTAGCCTGATCTAGTTTTTTCTACAACATCCATCTCAGTTGACTAAGATGTCAGCCGAAAACTACAGCAGAATTTGCTCTTTCACTAAATCTTCAAACGATTCTCCAGGTGACCAAACAGACACTACCCAGATAGTTATTGTGCTAAATTTCTAAGTTTCGAGGTAACCCATTTGGATAAATAAACATAATTAAGACCACCAACCCATTTGGAATACCCATTTCATATTTTTCAAACAAATTAAGACTACAAGCACTATTGAGCTAAGCTTTCAAATTTTACTAAGATTCTTTTGGCTAAATCGACAGAATAACAATTTGGGATACACATTTACACTTTTCACACTAATTAAGATACAAACACCACCCAGATAGTTACTGAACTAAATTTCCACACTTTGGGAAAATCCTTGAGGCTATAGCAACAGAATAACGATTTGGGATACATATTTTTCATTTTTCACAATAAATGAGACAACACAGTATAAATACAACCCACATGGTCATTGAGGTAAATCTTCAAATTTTGGAAAGACCCCTTTGGCTAAATCGACGGAATAACGATTTGGGATACCCATTTCACATTTTTCACGCCAATGAAGATTACAAACACCAACCAGATGGTTTTTGAGCTAATTTTCCAAACTTTGGTAAAACCGTTTTGACAAAATCAACAGAATAACGATTTGGGATACCCATTCATCATTTCTCAAAACATGTAAATTTTCAAATTTTGGGGCAACCCATTTGGACAAATCAGCAGTAAAACGATTTGGAACACCCATTTCACATTTTTTTTTTTGTCCAATATTCATGACTACGAAACATGGAAAAATGAATGAAGGGATAGTGAAAAAGACAGACCTTGGAAGGATCCACTTTGGGGAAATCTTTGACCACAGCGAGGACTCTGTCGATGACCTCTTCTTTGGTAAGATGATCATCGTCGTGTGAAGACATGAAGCGGAGGGAACCACCCCATGGCTGCAGCTTTGGAGCGGTTTGGAGTGGCACACGAACATGGCGGAGAATAGCTGCTCTCAGTGCCATTTTCTCTCTCTCTCTCTTTGCAAATGAGTATGAAAGTGAGGAACTTTGTTACACTCTCTCTCTCTCTTGATGGATTTGGGGGCAAAATCCAAGGACACAAGCTGCTCAATTATACTTATCTTGTGTAAAAAACAAAAAAATAATTAAGGATTAATGTTGTTTTATGTCAGAGGAGATCATTTTATTTTCTATACGTATAAAAATGGGAAAAATTAATCTTATGTTATATTTGATAAGTTTCTCTCTTACACACTTTTCGATAACTGTGTCAACTTTTTCTTTTTCTTTTCTTTTTATTTTTCAGGTGATGGAGCCCACAAGTTTGTCTCTATGACATGAAATAATTTATCTCCTTTAACATGAGATTAATAAAATCTTATAAAGATATGTGAGACATATGTGTAGCTGTATGAAGAGAAATAGGGAGAAAAAATAAATATAAGTCACGCATATATTTATACGTGTATAGAAAATAAAAAATGGTAATCTCTTCCTTTTTATTGCACAGATTTAAAATACAATGTGTTCCCTCATTAATGTAAGTTTTTATTAGTTTCAAAACAATGAGTAAGTATATCTATTTCATAGATATTATTTTTCTGAAAAAATTATTCCTACAAAAGATCAGAGTTTGGTTTGGTTTAAGTTTTAGTTGAATATATTACAAAAGAATTGATGTTAAAAGGATCTTGAAATAATTGACGTTAACAAAAATAATTTGTCTAAAAAATATTTTAAAGTTAAAAGAATTGAGTTTGTTTGAATATAGCAAAATACATAATTAATTTTAATATTCCATCAGCGTGAAATATTTTTATGGTAACATTTGATTTTAATTTAACATCATATTTAATGAGCTTGAAAAACTTTCAATTATATGAGATGTAATATTTTTTAAATAATATATTATTATATGTGAATATAAAAAATTTATCCTAAATAATAGGGGAGGTTATATTTACTATTTTTTTTTCTTACTACTACATCTTAGCCATTGATTTCTGTCAATTTAATAGTTATAATTTATTGCGAATTAATAATTAATTAATAAATATGACCCAATAAATTATAACTGTTGGATTGATAGGAATCAACGGTTAAGATTTAGAAGAAAGAGGTAATAAAAAAAATATAGTAAGTATAACCTCACCCAAAATATATTATATTTTAAAAAATTTAAAATAAATTTACTTTTAAAATTGAAATTTCTAAGAGAAAAAATAAACAAATACATCTTATCAAATTATTTTATATTTTTTCACTATAGAAAGTATTTTTATATTTTATTTATGGGAGATGTTATGTTTACTACTGAAAAATTTTATAACTCTTGCTATTAAATTAATCACCGTTGATTTTCGTCAATCTAACGGTTATAATTTATTAAAAATTAAAAATTAATTAATAAGTGTATTCAATAAATTATAATTGTTAGATTGACAAAAATCAATGGTGATTAATTTAATAGTAAGAGTTGTAAAAAAATTTAGTAGTGAATATAACCACCCCTTTATTTATATTATACCCTAATCATCATTCATCGTTTTCAATTTGACAATTCAAGATGAATAACATCCCCACAATTAGTGGTGCATATCGAGCTCGTAAAATTTACCCTTAACCTAGAAAAAATAATAATGTTTAAGTTTAACTCATTTATTTAAGGCTTTAATGTTTCTACAATTGATGCAAATAACGTCATTTTGGGTTGAAAGATTAAAAAATTATAATGATAAAGATTATTATAACCTTAAAATAAATTATAATTATAAAAATACCTTAATTTTCATCTTAAAACAATATTATTTTTGACTTAATGGAAATAAATTATCTACACTCGCTGCAGAAAAAACGAGACATTTATTTAAACATATTAGCCTTAAATCCTAGGCTTAATTTGTTTCAAAATATGAAGTTTGAACTCGGTTTATTTAGCTTGTTTGTAATTTATTTATTTTTCTATGAATTATTTTTTTAGCTTATTAATTTGATATTTGGTAAATATTTTCATGTTAATTTGGTACTTACTTTGATTAGAGGTCTCAAATTCAAGCTTCAAAATGAAGAAAATAGTCTTAAAAGAGTTATAAGCTATAGCTTTTCATCATCTCCAAGGTTATACTTTCCCTCAATCTTATTTATTTTCCCTTCCTTTATTTTGTGTGATCACAAAAGAAAAATAAAAAAATAAAGTCAATTTCATTTAAAAATGGATAGTAAATTTTAAAAAAGTATTTTAATTTTATTACTTGATCTTACCGGTTCAAGATAGGATGAGCCAAATCACACACAGTTGAAAGTTGAAGACTTTGGGCCTAGAATCGTAACAAGTGGGCTAGAATCTACAGTGGTAGGTGCTTCTCCTTGTTAGGGCTGTAGTATGGTTTTGGCACGATGGAAATGATTGAGGGTACCTGCAAAGACACTTCAACGTTCAAGTCAGTATCAATGCTAAGTATATGTTATAGTTAATTGGAATAAGATGATCGATCATACATGGGTTTGTTCCCTTTATACTTATAGTAATTTTTGTGTCGTCTTTTATAAGTAGCATACCTTCTTATTGGTTGATTCTAAGTTATTGCCTTTCTGGCTATTTCCTAGGTGAACAAGTCTACACAATAGCTTGTCTTCTTATGGTAGTGATAAGCTGGAGCTATCTTACTTGCGTTGGCCCTTATGCGCAGTGAAACTCAGCTCATTACTAAGACTTTTCTTAATCTTAAAGTTATATAAGGCGGCTTTATATGATAGTCCACACAATGTTTGGTGTGTGCATTTTGCGCAATGAGATCATTGTGCCTTTTTAGACCCTTTATGGGCTTTAAATCTTATGGCCTATATGTTATTCAGATCATTATCGATGTTGGAAATTTGCAATGTCTTCCTTAATAGGTATATCTAAATATATAGTGCATGCTATTAAGCGTTATGGTATGAATGAATTTGTGAACTCTTTGCTGATAAATTTTGTAACAACCCTTATAACTTCTCTTATTAGTAATTTCTTATTGCTGACAAGTGACGAGATAAACACATAACCATTTTTGAATATTCCATTACGTGTATAATTTTCTAATGGCTTCAAATGGTAAAGATCATTAATTCTTGATAGAAGTTGTTCAATGTATCGTTTTAATCAAGTGAGAAGTTGAGGAATTCTGAAAGTCTTTACCAAAAATCGATGGATGAATTTTTAAGTTTGATTTTATTTTTATTGAATTACTGTTTTTCGTCCCAATAACTTTCCTCTTCAATTTATTTGTTTCATGGACTTACCTATTGAGATAATGATTTAAAACATTATTATTATTATTAAACAAACAGAGGATAAATATGATATGTTTATAGAAGTACTTCAATTGAAATTATTAGTGTTTTCTTTTTCTAAAAAGGCCCCACTACTAAGAGTGTAGTCTGAAACCATCCTCAAAATTCAAAGAAAGCTAACTTTATATCATTTTTAATAATTTCATCTTTATAAGTAATTTTATTTTATTCAAATAAAAAATTATTTGATGACTAAATGTATCTTAATTAATGAATAGACTAAGTTATTTGTAAGTTTCCGAAAATATAATAACTTTCTGCCTGGATTCAAAGGGAAAGATATATTTACCACTATAAAAATTTATCACTCTTATAACAACCTAATCATCGTTGATTTTTGTAAATCTAATGTTTATAATTTATTGAAAATTATTGGATTACTCTTATTAATTAATTATTAATTTCTAATAAATTATAACTGTTAGATTTATGAAAATTAACAGTGATTAGGTTGATTGTAAGAGTGATAAATTTTTATAGTGGTAAGTATATCCCACCCCGGATTTAAAAGCTTAAAAACTACCCACCAAAAAAAAAAAGCTTAAAAATGCTTTATAAATTCAAATGCATTTTTTTAAAGTTTAAAATTGTAATTTTAAACCTAATTTAATATTTAATTCATATCTAGATTATTTTTTAAAGTAAAATTTTTTAAATAATGTGAAAGGATTTAAACATAATAATTAATTTTTAAAAAACTATTACAAAGCATACATTTATTGTAATTAAAATAAGTGTTTTATTAATCTCCTTTTACATAAGATAGTTTTTTTTTTTTTGTAAATTTTACATAAGATAGTTATCTTATGTTGTACAGAGAAACTAGGTGGGTCCTACCATTATAAGAAAAAAGAAAAAAAAAAGTGAGGTGCGAAAATCGAAGTGAGAAAAAATAAGATAAGCTACCTCATGTAAAGTGAGAGTAATATTTCCCTTAAAATAATTATTACAAAGCATAGTATCTACACGTGTTACCACTTAGCCCGAAAACTATGGGTCATTCAATTAGGCTTCGTCTTTTATTCGATTCAATTCATAATAAAAGGGACATGTTCATATTCATATTCACGTTCATGTTCATTGGTTTTACTACCTCTCTTCCTAATACCCTTTTCAAAACCTTTTTCTCTCTTTGCTTCTCGTCTTTCTTGGAGTTGAAGGGGCGCCAAAAGCTTCGTTGCTTCTGAAAAAACATGCCAGGTACCTCACCCTCTTTCTCTACTGTTTCACCTCAGTTATTTGGATTCCAGACCTCATGGATAAGAGAAAATAAGATATGGGTTTTCTTCCAAACATGATTTTACGTTATTGGGTTCGTTGGTTTCCATTTTTTTTTTTTTTTTGGGTTGTCTGGTTGCTCTTAATTTTTGAGTTGAGCCATTAAGGGGGTAATTGGGTATGCAGATTTTTTACATGTTTATTAATAATTCGTGTTCCGTGTAGTTCTGATTGTTGAGGGTTATGTGTATGGATATGCCCCAATATTATTCTTTTTGGTTGGTTTAAGTTTCTTCTATCTTTCGGTTGCATGATGTTTAAATATTAAGGGTCTGCTAAAAGTCACCGTTTATAAGGACGAAATCACCAAACAATGTTAGTTCAGCTGGGGCATAAGAGTTGAGCAGGTGAGGGTAAGAGCATGTGTTTGATCCTTACAAATATTATCTTTAGGAAGGGTTTAAAGTCTTACTCCTGAATCTGCCCAAAAAAGATTGCCTCCCGCAAAGGATACCTATAGTTTATCCAAAAAAAAAAAAAAGGACCAAATCAATGTCACTAGTTGATCGAAAATTAAAAGACTGAGAACCAATTTTATGTCATTTAGTGTCATGGAAATGTATAAAGTATCAAATTGGGTCTTACATTATTTTAAAGATTTGATTAAGTTATTGTCATCCAAAATTTTACCTTTCCATCATACACATATCTAACACCAACTCATCCATCATCATTTTTCCATATGAATGAACATTGCTTGACCTATATTCAACTACTAACTTAAAGGTGGAGTTTTACTGTTGTACTTATTTATTGACTTTAAATGTGCTTCTGTCTTTTGTTCTTTTTCTTTTTTACATGTACTTTTCTTTAGATATTGCTGTGGTTACTTTTAAAATACTTAAAGAAGACACTAAATTTAATGTTGCTTCCAATTACAGATAATGAAGAACCGATGATCATAGCTGGATCAATTTCTGAATTACCATTTAATAAATATAAGCGTTGGCAATGGTGGTTTCTGGTGGCACTCAGCATGTTCTTTCTTATTGTGGGTCAATCTGCTGCAGTTATCCTTGGAAGATTTTATTATGATCAGGGTGGAAATAGTAAATGGATGGCTACTTTAGTCCAAACTGTTGCCTTCCCAGTCTTATACATTCCATTCTTTATAATTCCTTCACCTTCAGAGGCTCCAACTTCTTCTGTTTCACCTTCCATCAAAATTCTAGCTTTGATATATTTTGTTTTGGGAGTCTTAATTGCTGCTGACAATATGATGTATTCCATTGGACTCTTATACCTCTCTGCTTCAACCTATTCACTGATTTGTGCATCTCAGTTAGCTTTTAATGCAGTTTTCTCATATTTTATCAATTCTCAAAAGTTCACCATTTTGATTGTAAATTCTGCTGTGGTTCTCTCTTTATCCGCTTCACTCCTTGCTGTTAATGAAGACAAAGAAAGACCATCTGATGTCTCCAAGGGAAAGTACATTATTGGTTTCCTTTGTACCCTTGGAGCTTCTGCAATTTACTCTCTTTTGCTTTCTCTCATGCAACTGTCCTTTGAGAAGGTTCTGAAAAGGGAAACATTTTCTGTCGTTTTGGAAATGCAAATCTATACGTCACTTGTTGCCACTTGTGCTTCCACCATAGGTCTATTCGCAAGTGGGGAATGGAGTACTTTGCATGGAGAAATGGAGGGTTTTCACACGGGAGGAGTTGCTTATGTTTTGACTTTGGTTTGGACAGCAGTAGCATGGCAGGTTTGTTCTGTTGGCGTTGTTGGCTTGATTTTCCTAGTGTCCTCTCTCTACTCTAATGTTATCAGCACTGTCTCTTTGGCTGTAACTCCTATTGCTTCTGTTATAGTTTTTCATGATAATATGAATGGCGTGAAGATAATTTCTATGCTTTTGGCTCTCTGGGGTTTTGCCTCCTATATCTATCAGAATTACCTTGATGATTCAAGGGCAAGGAGTGCACAAGCTGTTGCTCCTAAGTCTAACAATGATTCTTCATGTTGAGAATTTTCAATTCGGCAACATCAAATAAACACCTTCAGTCAACTACCCTTTTCTTTTTGGCTTTAAATCCTTCAGTGGAGCATCAACTAGCTCTAGATTTTATTTCTCCTTCAGTCTTGCTGAACTAGTGAGCTGTTATGGTTGAGATTGGTGGCCATTCTGGATATGTATCAGTATATCATTATGAAAAGATTGTTTGTGTCTCAGACCGGCTGAAAGTCTATGCTCTTTTGATTCCAAATATTTGTTCTCTGGCTTTTGTGATAAATTGAATAATCTCTGGGTGTTATTGGAACTCGGAAGTCTTGGAATTGTAGTCATTAAAGTTTTCTTTGCTTTCATCTGTTTTTTTTTAAAAAAAAAAATAATAATTCTAATCCACTGCCAATGTAATACTTATTTATGTTATCATCCAATTATGAAATTTTAAATCATAACAGAAGTTTGAGTACCATAATTGTTATTTTCGAAGTCTTTCTTTTTTAATAATGTGTCAATACATTATTACATAATAATGTTTAAAAAAAAAATTGCCCTGGCTGTTGTTCAAATTTAAGCTCTTTTCTTTTCATACCTATCTTTCTTTACTGTTCTAGTGGTTGGTACGGTATTCATAAGGCTACTGATTACCGAACTAAGTTCTCAAAATAAATATTTGATCTTAATTTTATTTCCCAACGTTTCTCTTCTTATGTTTCTTTGCTTCCTCCATGTCAATAACTATTCTTTACAATAGCCCAATTTACTATAAGCAACGCTCAACCAGGTTCTCAGAATGTAAACATAATCCATGCAATCTAGCAGGATAACAGGTTATAGGTGTTGGAGCGTGTTGTAAGAGTAGGGATGACAAGGAGGTTATTAAAGGGGTTTAGGAGTCGTTGAAGAAGACTTGGGTTTGGCCCAATGACACATTGCATCAATTGCTCATAATGTTTCTTTACAAAAGACTCTCATTGGTGGCCTGTGATTGGACAAAACAATGAGCATGATAATTTTATTTTTATTTTTTGTATATATATAAAAAAAAACTTTAGCAAGTTTGCTAATGCTAAGGAGTTTTAAATTGTAATTAGCTCTAAATCCTCCAAAGTTGTGAATACACTGCCCTTTATTTGGGGTAGTTGAAAGAGTAATCTTGTCCTTGGTATCCAAATATTTCCCACAGGTAGACATGTATCTAGCATCTGCAGCAGTGGCCAGTGGGGCTTCATATGCCACTTTATTCTCGCTTCTTACACAAGTACATGCACATGGATGTAGGGATCATGGCATAATGTTTATAAAGGTGACAAATACATGCACATTATTCTTTAGGAAGTCCTTGAAAAATGATCTGTGTGTTCTTGATGATAGATATAACTGCCAACTGAGATTGGTGGGAATGATGTTAGATTGAGGTGACAGTAAGTCCATCATTAATTGTAAGTGGGGATTTTTTTGTGATTGAATATAAATCTAAGTAGTTAAAAGCCTACCAAACACCATTGGCACAAGAGATAAAGGAGCTTGTGTTCTTTAACTAGTGGTTTCGTATTCGAGTTTTACTAGAAATGAAAAAAATGGTCTTGGAAGAGCCGCCCCTTACTAAAACCGGACTAGTCTGAAAGATGAACTGATTGAAGAGACTAAAAAAAAAAATAGTTAAAAGCCTTTAAGAGTTGGGAATAGCAAAGACCAATGTAAGTTTAGGAGGGTACATTAGTTTTATTTCGAAGGGAAAGCGAAATCAGGAATCAATAAAAGGTGGTTATGTTTATGGTGAATATAAACTGGGACCAGAAGGAAAAACTGATTAAGCAAAGACCATCCAATTGGAAAGAGAAACAATAGTGAGAAATACATGTTGCATGAATGACGGAGCTATGGGAGTATAATTCACTGGTGTAAGTAAGCCGTGTGCCACTATTTCCCTATGGTATACCCATATTGAAATCATAATTTTCTTTCTTAAATTGGAAACATCCATACACATCTCGTGAAATGATCCATACAGATACCTAAAACTAAAACTAAAAAAAAAACTAAAAAAATAAAAATAAAAAGTGTTAATAAATTGATACAAATGTCAATAGCCACACAATACTACAGAATCCATCGATTAAAATAACCAAGACATACATTTATCATTGCTGCAAGGAGTACACAAGTAAACAAAAGCACTTACCATATGAATCAATATTTTAAGAGAGATGACCACACCAAGCATTCCAAAATTAAGAAAATAGGGTGACAAAATTTACCCTAATCTTACAAATCACTTCAACACAGTCAACAATTAGAATCATGATAGTAACAAAATTTTCCCAAAAACAAGAAAAAAACTGTAAAGCCATCATGATGGTAACTAGGCATCATGCATGGGTGTGGACACAGAGAGCATGTAACAAGCTCCACTAACCCTGCCATAATACACTCGGGCTGACAGACATAGGAAAGGTAACAATGCAAATTTTAGCAGATGCAGTTGATGGTAATATGTGAGATTTGTTATAGCAATTAACAAAAGTCAATGGTATTTTTATTAGGTAATGAAATATGAGGAGGGTTATATTTACAAACATTTTGTTTACAAACTATACTATGTTCTCTCGGGAGTACATATTGTAATTTGCAAAAATTTGTGAAAAAAAATTGTAAACGAATCCTTCCCCGTGAAATATTATAAGTATTGAGAATTCGCTTCACAGTTGCAGATGTAGGCTGAAAAGAGGAATTATTAGAGATATTAACATAAATTAATGCTAGCACTTTATTTACAGAATTTACATATTGCTAGAGAAAATAGAACTAGGATGTAAACAATGCAGGCGTTGAAGATGAAATTGATTGCAGTAGTAGAAGCCATCAGGTCTAATGTTTCTTCACAAAAGTAAACAATGGGAAGGCTAAAATTCAAAATAAATTGAACTTTCTTTTGGCAAATTTCCTAATGCCAATGATGTTTAAATTGTAATTAGCTCTAAATCCTCCAAAGTTTTGGATATTCTACCCTTTATTTGGGGCAATTGAATAAGCAATCTTGTCCTTAGTATCTGAACTGATTGTGTACCTGATCACGGTTGTGCTTCAGCTTCCAAGGAGTAAACCAATTGCTGGTGGCATCAAGTTGTTCCTCTCTGTGCTCCTCTGGGACAAGGAGTTGTGGAACTGGGAAGAGTGACAATTTTGCCACACTTCAGCAAACTATTTACCAGACTGTCACGCCAACAGTAAAAATTCTCGGAATGCCACGCGGTATAATTCGCTACACTGTGCAGCGAATTATGTTTGCAAATAATTCGCTACACAGTGTAGCGAATTACTGCATGCTTGACACGTGTCATTTTTGCTGACTGTGTAGCCTGACATGGCATAATTCGTTACACTGTGTAGCAAATTATTTGCAAACATAATTCGCTGCACAGTGTAGTGAATTACGCCGTGTGGCATTCCGGGAATTTTTACTGTTTGCGTGGCAGTCTGGTAAATAATTTGGCCAAGCGTGACAAAATGATCACTGTTCCGTGGAACTGCAAGGCACTTTAACGCTCAAATGAGTATCAGTTATGACTACAACGTGTAAGGTAATTATTTACCCGATACTTATTGCTTATTTTTGTACGAGGGGGAAGACCCTCTCTTTTGTATGGTGGTTGTCAAAATTTCCCAAAGTAAACTTAATTGGTTACTTCCAAATTTCCAATTACGTAGATCAATAATTTAAATCGCACTCAAAGATAGGATATTTTTTTTTGGGTATCCAGATTATTATTATATATATATTACTATATAAATATAAATTTAAAATAATTTATGGTTGGCTTGGTTGAACCAAAGGGCCCAAAGGGTTTAGGGTTTTCCCCATAATTATTGAGCTAAATACTTAATGGGCCTAAGCTAGATATACTATGTAGAAAAGTATCCAAATGTTTCCTACGGGTAGATAGTGGGCTTCTTATGTTAGTTCACTATTGCTTCTTATACAAGTAATTTAGGGGTCAAGCCTAAAGTTTATGGGTTTTATTAGTGTTATGTAACATAATGTAAGTGTTGTTTTCAACTCTCACATCAAAAGAGAGAGAGAAAATGAAATGATAAAAGAGAAAGAAAAATATGTGGACCCTACCTCTTGTGTGTAAGAAAGTGAAGTTATATTATGTTAAATGATAAACATAAAACCCAAAGTTTATACCGGTGACAAATGCACATAATTCTTTACGAAGTCCCTGTTATCTCTATGTGTTGTTGAGGATAGATGTAACTGCTAATGGAAATTGATGAGTCTACAGGGAGTTTGATTTCAGTAAATACTCCTTAATGGACTTGAATTGTAATCTTCTCTCATGTGTGAAATGCAAAAGCACTTAAACATGCTCGTGCGCTTGCCATGGGTAATTACAGCCACCTAACATGGTCTCCAACATTAAGGGTGTGATTGGATTAACTTTAAAAAAAAGTTACTTTTATACCCTGCTTATTTTAAAAGTGCTTTTTATAAAAGTTAAAACCATTTAGATTTTTTTAAAAATATTTTTTTTTAAAATAAAAGTTGGCTTTTGACTTTTGCTTTTTTGAGAAGTTAAAATTTTTAGCTTCTGAAAAAAATAGGTTTTTGACTTTTTTTATGACTTCTGCTTTTTTAAAAAGCAGTCACCCAAATGCACTTTACAATAAAAGTGCTTTTTTTGGGGGAAAAAGTAACTTTTAACTGGGAAAAAGCTCATCCAAACAGGCCCTAAGAAAATGCCATGATTACATAAGCTAATCATCGTGTCGTTCCAACTCGATGAAGTCATCATTGATTTTCGATTTACTTCATCTTCAGACTTCAATAAAATGGATTCTGATTAGGGGTGTAAAAAACAAGTTATGACACGCAGCTCGATCTGTGACATAACATGAAAATTCGTGTTCAGGTTGATTTGCAAAAAAAAATTATATTGTGTTCGTGTTGGAAAAAATAACATGCACAAAATATCCGCATATATTGTGTGTCGTGTGTATAAATATGAATTCGACTCATATTTTTTTTTGTCAATTACCATTTTGACTCATAGTTTGATTGTCATTTTTGTCGTGTCGTGTCAACCCACAAAGAATTTGTATTGAAAATTTTGAAACGAATAAAAATTCGTGTCGTGTTCGTGTTCACTATATTCGTACCATGTCAAATTCATATTGTATCCTGTCGACCCATTTTGACACCCACTAAAAGTGATTTTGAGTGATGAATGAATGTGATTGCGGCTTTGACCTCAAATTGCCACTTCGATTTGTTGTTTCTAAAGCCAATTTCACTTTGAGAGGGTGATTGAAATCGACCGAATTCAATGGTGCTAATGATAATGCCGCAAGAAATATTAAGAAAAACAATCATTTAATGTATTAGACGATTATAAACTAAATTGAACCAAAGATTAAAAGAAGAAAGTCCATATATATATATATATATATATATATATATATATATATATATACTGATTATATTAAAAATATAATTGTTTAGAAAATTGCAGTCCTTGAAATTACTTTTGATGCCAAGAGTCGTTTGATAGATCATTACTGAACCATATCCTTATCAATAACAAAACTGGATTCAGTCAAATCTGATAGTTAACCAAACAGTATATATATCTGAATAAATAAGTGAACAATCATTTTCCCTAAAATATTAAGAAAGTGAACAAATAATATAACAAATATCCACCAAAGTAATAATACTACTGAGCCCACCCATTGATACATCATACTCTGTATTAAATAGCGTATATTATACTGTATAGCTAGCTAGCATTTAAAAGGGTAGCAAAGGAGTGCTTAAATGGTGCGGACCCCATACATGAGCATTACCAACGGTCCAAAACTTCAAAGGGTAGTGAGATATCTCAATTCTCACATATTGTGTGTTCCAATTCACCACCACAAAACTCATTCACATTGATTTCAAATGCTACCCAATGGCCCACCACTTTGGCTATTGAACTCCAATTCAAGTGGGGGGCACCATCCGTTCATTATGCTCTTCGCCATTATCTTACTTTTGTTCAAACTATAATCCAATTTAGACACTTTTTTAATCCACTAACAATAGCTACTTTTAAGTTTTAAGTATTAGGATTAATAATAGTCAAACGTTTCAATAATTTGCAGAAAATCTTAGGTTTAAATTTTGTTTATAAAAGGTATATTGTATTAGGAAAATAGTTTATCCTTTTAAAAGACTTAATTTATGTCATTTCACTCCTTATAACTTTGTATTTCAGAGAGTATATAATTATAATATTAAAATTATTTTTTCTCTCTACGTCAGTCGACAAGTTCAAAAAGTGTCCAAAAAGAGAAAAAAAAAATAACTTTAATATTATAACTATATACTCTCCGAAATACATAAATTATAAAGGAGGTAAAAGAACATAACGATACACTAAAAAACGAAAATCATTTTCTCTATTATACTATAACAGGGAGAGAACTAATAGATAAGTTTCACCCTTTATTTTATATTATACTTCATTAATTAAGCTCGTAAGCACAATCTTACTTCTGTTCAAATTTAATCTGGTTTAGAAACGCCTCTCATATTTTTGTTGCATATATACATTTGTCATTATATATTTTTTACATTTAAGTTTTAAAATATTTTTATTCAAGTCCTTATAAAAGAAAAGTCTTTATTCAAGTTAAACATCAATTTTATCGTTTTGTAAGACCATTTAGTTTCTTTAAAATATTTGAGGTCGAGACTATTCTTGCAAGAATTGTCAATTTAACTTAATGACGTTCTTTTAGGAAATTCTGAATTTATACACCAAAAGTCAAGCCCCACATAGGACTTATTTTGCAAATTGCACCATGAAATTTGTTAAAATATCAATGTGTTGACATTTTTATTTATCTATTCATCCTTATAATTGAAAGTAACCTCCAAATCTTACCGCTAAGAATAATTAACAAAGAATTTCTAGCTATCGACCCTTAAATTATTTATTTGAATTCTATTAATTAATTTGTTACAATTTCATAAACTACTTTTAATTGAATACTTTTATTTCGAGTCAGAATTAAATTAGTTATACTCATATTTATTTGTATACAATCAACTTAAGTTAAAAATTAATTATTAAAAGCACCTTAGAAGGTGAATATAAGTATATAACAATTTCATAAACTACTTTTAATTGAATACTTTTATCTCAAGTCAGAATTAAATTAGTTATATTCATATTTATTTATATACAATCAACTTAAGATAAGTTAAAAATTAAAAGCACCTTAGAAGGTGAATATATAATAAAAAATGTAAATAGTCTTAATCAAGCAAATGTAAAGCAAGAGCAACTGAGTTGACAAAGAAATCAACGACAAATATGTAATTGCAAAATCACATCAACCTCAATTATATCTATAAAAATAAAAATGCAAAAAAAAAAAAAAAAAAAAAAAAGCGAAACTTTCTGTTCCATCTGATGAATGTGTACAAAGAGAATTCAACGCAACCCCCAGGAAAAAAAAAAAAAAATTGTTTTTTCTTTGGTAAAAAGAAATTAAGAATGTGCACAAAGCCGCAAACGAAAAGAGAATAAAAATTAAAATCACCGTATCGTGTAAAAAGTAAACAATATCAACGGTTCTGGTTGACTCGTCCAAAATCCGCAAGCTTCCTGGACCGGTTTGCGCAAAACGACGCCGCTGCCGAGAGGTGGGGCTTCGCCGCCGCCCTAATCTCCACCGCCGCAGCCATCTCCGGCGGAAATCCCTTGTGGTTCAACCTACAGTTCGGACTGGCCCGAACCAGAGGACTCAGGCAAAAACCCATACCCGACCCTGACACGCTCTTCTTATGACCTAACCGCGAGCGCCGTGCCGAAGGCGCCGTAGCCGACGGCGTTCTCCGCCACCAAGGAGAAAGCTCCGACAAGTAGCCACTGCCATACTGAGACTGATCACATTCATCGGCGAAATCCTCGGTTCTCACCGGTGACATTCCCCGATCCGTTTGCCGGTGTCGCCGAGGTGCTCTGACGGTGGAATCCTCCGTCATTTTTACCCGATCCCGATTCTTCCGGCGATCAGGGAAAAACGTTGAGAACCACGAAGGCGATGATGATGATGATGATTGTTCGCACGATGGATCGGATTGGAACTTCTCTGATCTGGACCTGAAGAGGTTCGAGAAATTCCAGAACTTGCTCAAACGCTTCTTGAATGGCCTAGCGTTGCACGCGGAATTCGCGGCGCAATCGCCACCGTAGAAGGTTGGACCGAGTTGTGGAGTGCTGTAGAACAGCCGATCACGGCTGTCGCTGGAGCCGTGCCACGCGGCGGCGTAGTCAGATTTCCGGCGAGAGACGTAAGGCGAGACAGAACGAGGGAAGATTAGCGGTGGCGGAGGGTTGGAGTCAGAGTTTATGGAACATTCATCGGAGGCGCGTGAGATAACTCGCGTTAATTGGGCTTGGGCTTGCGTCTGGGCGGCGATGAGGGCTATGAGGCGCTCCCGGAGACAGGTGGCGCAGACGCCGACGGTGCTGCTAAGGTCTGGTATGTGTTTCTTGCACCTCATTACGACGCCGTTTTCGCGTTTATGTTGCTATTATTGTGGTGATTGTTTTATTGGGCAGCAGCATTCGTGTGTGTGTGTGTGTGTGTGTGTTGTGTGTAAGCTAAGTGTGAGCTGAAAAAAGAGATCTGATTGAGAATTTAGAGGAAAATGGAGAGAGAAAGAGAGAGTGACAGTGCATTTGTTAGGAGGGAGTGTTGGTTGGGGCTAATTGAAAAATGCTTGAAATCATATATATTTAAGGATTAATGTTATTCATATGAGATAATTTTATATCTTATACACGTAAAAATACATAAAAGAATGTGAGATCCACGTGGAGCTATGTGAATAGAAGAGAAAAAAAGAAAATATGGGTCTTATATCATTTTATGTGTGTATGAGATAATTTTGTATCGTACAATATGAAAAAAATTAATTTCTAAATTTAATTAATTAATCAATGTGATTAATATTTCTCATATTATAAGAGATAATTTTATTTTCTACGTATACATAAAAGTATGTAGAGATCATATGAGGCCATGTGCAGATAAAAAAAAAAAAATATGAGTGTACACACTTTTATGTGTATTATTTTCTATAATACAAAAAAGTTAATCCCTTAATCAATACATAAATGGATTTCTTTTTTTTGGAAATAACATAAATGGATTTCTAAACAAGCAAAAAAAACAAAACAAGTAATTTAAACTTTTAAACTTTAAAAATGGTAAAAAAAATATTTGTGGGTGTTTGATCTTTGATGCCACAATTAAAATAAGGTAATTATGATGATTGTCAAACGTGATCTTTTATTTTGCTAACCGGATGGATATCTTGCTTTGTGGGCATATAATTATTCGTTGGTTGAATCTTGAATCTTTGTGGTTTCTCACTCTCTTTTACCTTCTTTTTTTTTTTTTCTCTCTTTTAAATTACGAAATTTTGATTATGTCTTTGATTCTTTTCCTTAATTATTATTACGTGTACGTTATATTATAAATTGAACACCGAAGAGCGTGAAGGCCACGCTTCCTATGGTGCCTTGATTCAGTCAATGAAGTCAAACCCTGGCGTTTCGTCATCATATGCCAATCATCCTTTAATAGTTTAGATATAACGGTTACTATCTTTATTTTCATTGCACGCGCTTTGATAAAGTGTTTGCTGGAATTCTTTATGCTTTATTTTAAAATTTTGAAATAAAGATTAAACACATAGAAAGAGAAAAACTGAAAAACAAGTTACATTGCTTACGGTATTGAGGGGAATATTTGTATCATAAACTAGATTAAAATATACGCAATGTACGGAGTTGTGAAATAAAATATTAATAATATTTTAAACTTTTTATGATATTAATTATTATTTTTTATGTCAAAGATATTAATGAAAACTCTAGCGTTGAATTGATTCAAATGAATTTTAAGATCTAAAAATATAAACATTTGATAAAATATTAAACAAGATTTAAATTTTGAATTTTGTATAATAAGATGATAATACAAATTTAAAATTTTTAATAACCAATAAATGTATTCAAAATTATCCGCATATTTTAAATTTAAGTAAAATTAAAAAAATTGTTTAAAATGATAAGAAATATAATTCATTCATGTACAATAAAAATTGTTTAAAACTTAAAGATATGGATGTGTATATTTGTCAATGCACTGAGAATAATATTATAGATATAATTTATCATTTTTTTTCTTATTACTTATTACAATCACTTTGTTATATTGGATCAAAATTAAATTAATGATTCTCAGTTCATATTATTTTGTAACCGTTAATTTGATTTTAATTAAATGATAACGAAATTGGCTCTAAGAGGTGATATCAAAAAAAATGTGATAGGTATAATCTTCCTAATTATTATACTATGCTCTTTGGTGGGCAAAAAAAAATCTTTTTGATCCTTTTGTCAAATAAATTATGTGTTCACTTTTTCTACATTTAATGTAAATAACTTATCTAAATTGAGTTAAAAATTACGTAGTTTTAGGATAAAAATCAAGATATTTTTATAATTATAATTTATTTCAGGGTTATAATAATTTTTTCATTATAATTTTTAATTTTTTAACCCAATTCAATGTCATTTTGAGAGCAAATGTAAATAATTTATATTAAAGCAATGAACTATCTTATAGGAGATATGAGTTAGAATTGATTAGGATAGCACAATATCTATTTATTTCAAACGTAGCATTTTGCTTCATTGGGAAAATAAAACCCCACACTGCTATTATTTAAAATAGCATTATCTTATTAGATTATTTGCTTAATGCACATCAGACACTGAATATGTTTATCTTGCTTATTTGATCACTAGCCCTAAAATTTTCATCCCTTAAAGGGATTTTAATATTAGTGCGAGTTTTGTTTTTTTTGGATGAGATTTTAAATGCTGGGAACAAACTAGAGTCAGGGTTGACGTTGGAGCGTGTTTAAGGGATTGCCAATTTGAACCTTTTTCTCAATAATATTAATGTTGTGGACCAAAGATATTTTTTATCGATTTCCACGTTTCCAAAGTCCGATTGAGCTTTAATGACAAGGGAAACTTGTGCAGTTATTTCATCTATCCAATCTGTTCCTTGAAAGTAACTCGCAATAAATATCACAATTTCTATTTTGAAAAAATAAAAGAAAAAGATTAAAAATCTTTGATCTTTCTTTTCTTCGTTCCAATTTTTTCGGATGTTCCCGAAGGTACTTTGATCTTTCTTTTACATTTATGTGATGTTGAACTTTTCTTCAAATTAATGTTCACTACAATCAAATATATTGCTTGGTTGAATGGTAATCTCACAAGCCGTATATGTGGTTGACGGCGACTAATATATTCTAGTTTTGTTTATATGAAAACGAAGATTCCACGTTTGGATGTAAGAAAATATTTAAAATTTCAAGTCAACTTTGAAAAAATAAATATAAATAGGCAAATAATAGTAAAAGCATGTTACTCAAATATACATAAATGTATTAGCAATCATTTGTTCAAATTGTAAGAAATTTATTTTCCTTAATCATAAGTTTAAGTTCGAGCTTTAAGAACCAAAAAAATGATATTGGAAAAGTCATCTTTATAATGGATTAGATAATATTCGAATAAATTAATCGGAGAATTGATGAACTGATTGATATATGGGGTTATCACTTCTCATTCAGCAGCAAAATTCCTCTTCTTCGGTCACTGAGACAAAATTATGCGAGTCCCGTTTTATTAAAAAGAAAAAAATACAAAAAACCATTGCACATATCCCGATGAGTCAGCGGGAAGAAACCTTCTGCTACTGTCGCTGGAGAACTATATTTTCGTTGATATATATATAGAGAAACAATATTCTCACTACCAACTTACTACTTATCTAATCATCATTAGATTGATTTTTTTTTAACATTCTCTCTCTTTAATCCAATGGTGATGTGATGGGTAGTAAGCTAGTAGTGAGAATTTTTGGTAGTTAAAATATCCTCACTCATATATATATATATATTATATATATATATGTATGTGTGTGTGTGCACGCGCGCGCACTCATGATATGTGTGTATGCAAAAATATTCGCGGAACGGGAAACTAAAAGTACATTAGAAATGACCTCTCTTTTTTTTTTTTTTGATAACAGAAATGACCTCTTTGTACTCCTCAAAAATATGTCATCCGATATAAAAGGGAGTGCGTAAGGAAGAGGGAAATTAATCCAAAGGATAATCATACATAATTCCAGGTAACTTTGCAGAATATATCACACATAGTTGTAAAACCCGACCCGATCCGACCTGGTTGACCCGAAACTCGGTCATTGGATCGATTCGGGTCAAGTATTAGACCAGTCATGCATCGACCCGGTCAAAATCCGGCCAAACCCGGTCAAAATTGGTGACCCTGTGACCTAGTCTGGTCATGCATTTAAAAAAAATCAAAATTATTTCATCTTATAAAAAAAAAATGTAGAACTCATTTTAAAACTTTTTTGTAATTTTATTTATTAGTATACTCTTCTACAATGACCTCAAATCTCAGCTTTTGATACTAAAGCAATTTACGAAATAATAAATTAAGAAAATGTGACATATGTCAATTTTAATAGAGTTGAATTTGAAAAATATGAATTGAATGTCATTGAGGGGTATCTTTATGAAAATTCTGAGTTGCAATTTAAATTGATATAGTAATAATATGCATTTTTATTTATTTATGCTTCTTGTTTTTGAATTTATTTAATAAATCTTATTTAATTCATTTTAGATATGGAGAATATAATTGAATTTATATATTCATATTTATGTATATTTTTATATATCTATATATATCCTGGTCAACCGTTCCGACCAGTGACCCGCCAGTCCTATCAGTAACCAGTACCCCGACCGGGTCGATGCCCGGGTCGGATTTAATAACACTGATATCACTTTCTCAGTTGGAAATATTTCAAGAAAGTACCAAATTAAATAAGTAAATTGAAAGATGGAAAAATATTTTCTCATGTGGTTGATAGGAATTTGATTCCTGACTGTATGTATAAAAAAGACTTTGTTGGAAGAAGTTTATTCACTTAACATGATCTTCCACCTTTAAATGATTAGTCTTTGATTATCGACCGGAGGATACCTTGGGAAACCAAAAAAAAAAAAAAAAAAACTAAAGGGACCTATATGTTTATTTTTATGACATGAGATAAAATATCTCCAACAACATGAGATTAATAAGTTCCTTAAAAGATTATTTTCTGGAGTTTCTTGCAAATTTGTAACCGAGCAGGTAATTATATTATTCTCCTTTGGATCAATTTCCATCTTCCGTAATTCTTTGAATCAGCTTTTGCAAGAAACATGAAAATAATTAAGTAATTGAAAGCGTAATCATAGCTAGCCACTTGTTCAATTACTGATTTTAAAGAAGAATTTTAGTTTTACTGAAGTGGTCTTTCTTTCAATCATGATATTAGTTTATACTTGGCCAACAATATGCTAATTTGTTGGACTTTGACCAAAAAAATATGCTAATATTTCGGTAATATTAGATTTTATTTTTAACTGCAATTTTTATGATAATAAGATAAGGTACTGATATCATATGATCAAAAAAAAATATGTTAAGGATATGCTAAGGGTGTTCACAGGTTTGAGTCTCTTGCACTTGCACCTGCCTGCCCTTTATCTGTCCAAATCTGACATTTTTTACATGATTCCTATAAGTAGTTGCAGCTCTTCATAATCCATTCCAAGTATTTCTTTTTCTATAATTATATATGAAACAGAAGAAATAAAGCACTAAAATAATAAATTGAGGTCAAGCCTAATAAAACCAGCGAAACTTATTGTATTTGGGATCCTTGCACTTGCACATTTCCACGCTTAATCTCCTCTCCCTGATTTTACGAGAATTATTTGTTAAAATTAACAATGAATAAGGTAAGAGCTAAACTAATTTCAAAGCCTCAGTTATGCCCTTTTCTCGACTTTGAGTCTGTTTTAAATTTTGAGGGGCCTACAATCGCATTTTGACTTATTTCTTCAATTAAAAAACTTGAGCTTGCATATTGAAAACAAATTTTTGTAGCAAGAACTTCAAAACAACTTTTCCTTTTACATTGTTCAAACCTGAGGTGGATTTTTACCATATTAGCTAGCCATTTCCCCCTACTCATCTAAGACTGCATTATGCTCTTTTTTCCATAAATTTTATCTCTAAAAGTATATTTTCTTTGTTCTATCCAAACAAAAATCGATTCTTTCAAATTCATTTTTTCAAAATCAATTCAATAAAAAATACAAACCGGGACCTTCACTATTTTAAACATGATTATAAAAGTTTAATATCCGAAATTAAGATGGCATAAAACCATTTGAAATTTCTCACAGCTAAGCCAACATCACATAAACATGTTACATTATACATAAGCATCCATATTTTGGTGACAAGAAAATAATATAACTTCAACTATATTAAAATAGTTCATACGGTACAAGCTGAGAGAAATTTCAACATCAGTAAGTCAATATCCACTACAAAAATATGGCAAACAAACGCTACCTAACTAAGTCAACATCTTACTGAAACAAACAAGCAAACAAGGTGAAGCAACACAGCTGGACTCATAGCTGAGGACTGACAGACAGGAACAAGAGATTTTGGCGTTCCTGTTTTTGTCATCTCTGGAAACTGAGTAGATCAGAAATCTATTAATTTCATAACAAAGCACAACCGGTGTTTACGGGAAAGCATATAAATTGGTTCAATTAAGATATTACATCATATTGTTTTCACCCATTTGAGTTTAATTCCCATCAATTTTATTTGAATATCAGTCCTTATATTTTAACTCATTTAAATTTTGGTCCCTACTCTTAAGATACTATACCTATATTGTTTTCATAGTTTTTAATCATTAGAGTATTGATTTTTATTTTCTATGAAGAATTATTCCTTATTTAATAAGGTATTAACCCGTGAGAGACCATAATTCAAATAAGTGAGAAAAAAAATGATATCCAAAACTCGAATGAGTCAAAATCTTGTTTAAACCCATATAAATTTGTGCATTCCAGCCCAAGAGAGTTCGGAAACCGAGAAAGGATAGATATATATTTGTGCACTGAGAATGGCTTGATTCATATTGGATATAATCAAAGACAGAATAAAATGCAAGTGATAGTAAACTCAAGCTACAACTTCCTTTACAGTTTACAATCACCTACTTTTTGGTGGGGGCACAAAAAAAAAATGCAAGTTAGACAGAATATCTCATTTCAAATTTATTAAATCTCACACTAAAGCATATGTAGCAAATCAGTTAAAAGAAAGATTTAATTTTAATCCTACACAGTAAACAATTTTACACCATCAGTGAACCATAAAATATGACCTTTTAAAAGGGGTTAAAAGCTTTTCCAGATAGTGAAGAATCTTATTTATTACAATGATGTGGCTGTTTCTTGTTTACTAAAACTTCAAAAAACTACAATTTCAATTGACCAAAATCTTAAAATAACTACTTACGCTGATTGTTGGTTGCCAGTCTGTTGTATCAACTGAGAGTATATATATTCATCAACTCTCTGTTTTGCCAACGCTACCTGTTCAAAAATTCGAGTTTCAACAAAAAGCATGAACAGACATCGTACTAGTCCAAAATCAATAGAAGAAGGTAGAAAGAGCAAGCAATGGATTAAATTCCATGTGGGTAAGCACTTCGCCTATGATATATGTCAAATCAAATTAACATCATCATCTAATGAAAAACCTCTGTCACTATTTTTGTTTCAAGGAAAACCCTAGACCTGGCAAAAGGAAAGAGAACATGGACATAGACACCAGAAGATTTGATAAGTTCACATATATTTTGAAGTGCTGTCTTGTTTGATGTGTGTTTGGCAGTTGGCTTGGCACAGACAGCCCTTTCCAAGTGTACGTGTTTCATAGGTATTGAGACTCACCAAGGATCAAGCCCAGCATCAAGTTTTTTCCCTAAAGAAGCAAGCTGCCACTATGCTACAAGACCGTTGGCTCTCTCTTTTTACATATTATTTTGGGGTAAGGTAGGAGAGCCCTAATGGGATCTAAGTGGGGTAATCAGGGGTTTCGGGGGATGGAAACTCCAAGTCCCTGGTGACCACTAGGCTACAAGACCCCCCTGGCTCTCTCTACTTCTATTCACAAAAGAAATAAATAATCCAGATTTTGTTGATGTAAGAAACTAGAAAGCTGGAAATGTAAACCTCTAGGAATATACTCTAAACTATATGATTAATTTTATTCAATGAATGGTTATTCATATGCACTTACTCTCAAAAATAGACATTCGTTTAATAGGACCTGAACTGAACCCCAGCTCTGGGGAAGAGGTAGTAAAGACCTGTTTGGATGGTCTTTTTTCTCTCCAAGAAGCTATTTTTGCCCCAAAATAAAGGTGTTTTACATTTCATGTGCATGTTTGGATGCAACTTTTGAAAGAAAAAAAGTCAGAAAAAGCCAAAAATATGCCCTGTTTGGAAGCCAAGATTTTTTACTTTTGAATAAAGCCAAAATACTGTTGTTTACTTAAAAGCGCAGTTTAGATATTGATCCAAAAGCGAAATAGCAATGACTTTAATAAAAAAAGTCCTTTTTTTAAAGCCCATCCAAACAGCCCTAAGCAAAATTTCTGCAAATTGATTAACTACCATACTTTTTCAATCTCGAGTCACGTTTCCACTCAATTCAAGCAAAAGACTCCAGCCTGTAGGTAAGTGATAGACATACCAGCCAAAAAGACAAATAAAATAAAACAACAATAATTACAAAAGATTCTCAAACATCAAATCTATATTGCTTGTTCTTCTAGAAACATTAAAAGGCTGAAAATCAATAATAAACAAGATCACACCTGTTGTGCACTACCACCAAATTGAATTTGCCTATGCTTCTGTTCACCTTTTCCACCATAAACCTGCAACGTTTTCAAATTGATTTAGAGATAAATCACATGAAAAACAGATCTGGGAATTTAAGAAGAAAAGGAAAAGAACATGATAACCAGTAACTGAATTTAACAACAATCATTTAAGTTATATTGTATACAACGGAAAAACACAAATTATAAAAATGTCATTATGTCAACAACAACAAATCTAAGTTGATTTATCAATTTACCTACAGCTGAAACAGATCAAGTGATCTAGTATGCTATATGCCGTTCAATAAAAAGTTAAATGTAGTAAGATAATCAAGGGCTTTCCATACTATTCCTTCAAGTAATGCAGCATTCTCAATTCTCTTACTTGATGTTTTGTTAACTAATGTATATCTTTTATGTGCACGTTTGGTCAATATAAGCACTGAAAAGTTCACATGAGAGCCTAAAAGCATTCTTCTCACCAGTAGGGTAAACAAACAGAGGCCCAGCATCTATATTGATGGGTAGGTCTATGTTTTACGATCCTAAGGCTTAAAATGGTTTGAAGTACAAATTGGAGATCCAAGGGTGCTCTCTACGTAGAATTCTACACTTACAGCACAGTAACAATTGAACATGAATCCAAAAAGTGAAAAAAAAAAAATCTTCATAGGACACTTGACTTTCTAATTGATCCTCACATATATGAGCCATGGCTGTGCTAAGTAGTTAGAAGACTAACCTTGATCATTGCTCCAGACTCATTTCTGATCCTTGATATGTTTGAGCCACACCTGCCGATCAACCCACCAACCATTGTTTCCGAAATCAGCATCTCGAATGTAACATAATCAACTGCAAGATTGGTTGTCCTAGAGATGAAGTGGTTGTAAGACACAAAACTTGATATAACTGCTAAATGGCAGCTAAAAGTTGTTCTGATATAGAAAACATTAAATAACCTGAAGTTGGGTCAAGATATGGTTGAGATGGTCGAATTGCAGCATAATTGTATGTTGGGCTGATTGAAATCACTTGTCTTGGGGGATTTTCCCTAAACAAAATTTGAGTTGAAATATATGTTAGACAAAATGATAAACTAAATTTCAAAAGTAAATTGGAACCAGGTTCAAAATCTATATAGAAGTTCACCACCAGACCTTAACTGAAAACCTATCTCCTCCAAAGCCTTCATTACAGCAGGAACATCTCCGGATAACTAAATTCAACAATAATGTTCATCAAAATTCAGCAGCAAATATTAAGCTGCAGCAAAACAATATAATAGCAAGAACGGCAGAGTAAAGCATATAGAAAAATCTAATTCCAAAAAAAGCAACAAGAAAATTGATTCCCGAAAAAAAAAATATTGTAAAACATTACGTAATGATCAGATTAGTTTTTCACAAAAGAAAAGAAGCAAAAACCTCAAAAGAAAAAAAATAAGAAGCTATTTTTGCTTTTCTCAGAAGCTAAAAATAGTAGCTTCTGAAAAAAAGATATATCATATAAGCACTTTTTTTCAAAGATTAAATAAACGGGCCCTTAGTGTGAAAAAAAACCCAACAAATAAATACAACTCTTACAAGTTGTTTCATATCACTAAAATTCGAAGAAAATTGATTCCATGTTCATTAAAAAGAAAAATGATTCCAAATATAAACTTCTCAACCCTACAACTCTTACAATCTGTTTCATATCATTCAAATTAATTAATAACTCAGCAAAATGCACATAATGAGTTATATTTTTCTTTTGAACCCTTAAATTGTCCTTTTGGCTGTTGCATGGTGTACATAGCTGTCATAGCATAATAATGTGCTAAGTTTGCTGGTCAGAGGATTTACCAATAAAATGTAGAAAATTTATATCCAAGTAATTTTAGTAGCTTTAGCATGGAAGAGGAAAATTGTCTTCAGATTAAATAGCAAAATGGCATGGTCTGTTTCATAAATAGTATTGAAAACTATAATGCATTTGAATTAGATAGAATATCATCAAGCCTATTATAGCACGATTTGAACATGGACACAGTCATACTTCATACGTAAAAGAGTATGTATCATTCAACAGTTTGATGCAAGCAATATTTTAACAAAACTAATAAAAGACCAATAACAATTTTATTTTGTTAATCCATTTTGTATATTTAACCATCAAAGTCGTTAATACGGCACTGTACAATAAATTCAAATAACATTTATTGTAACAGAAAAGTTACATAATAGTTTCAGAAATACCCAAAATCTTTCATAGTTAAAATTGATGAACATCATTTTAGACATCCCACCTGTACCACTCTATCAGATTCATGGGCAGAAGCACATAAAGGCAACTGATTTGGTGCAAGAACTGTAATTGTGGCACCAGAAGAGTTCCTCAACTTCTCAATGTTTTGACCAGACATACCAATCAATCCACCTGCCTGGGACCCAGCAATTAAAAGTCTTATTGTATTGGCAGCCACATGTCCTGCAGTGACTTTTGATGCATCGAGACTGCTATCATCTTCCTGTTATATGGAGCATAACTTTATTGATTCACCTTAATAGCAGCAACAAAAAAAAGTAACACCCAACAGGGCCACATGCCCACATGATTACTAATTGAAGTTCATATTTCCCAATATAGTGATCTAACAAAATCTGAGTGGCCAGGTGCCTATCAGAACTACAAGACAATGGGTAGGCTAACCCCTAATCAGGTTTATTAATTAAATCAAGGGTTTAATGTTTCTCATGTTATAGAAGATAATTTTATCTCCTGCACAGATAAAAATGTGGGTCCCATGTGAGGAGAAGAGAGGAAAAAAAAAGTACCCCACACACTTTTATTTGTGTGTAGGAGATAATTAAACCCTAAAATCAAGCATAAAAAATGTTTTAAACCATGACGAATGGATACAGGGACATGCATCATATCCAAAACAATACTTTACAGGGGTACAACAAGTACAACATGGTATTTTAGCTTTAAATTATATACATATACATGAAACAAAAAAATGATATTAGATTTAACATTAAAATTAAAATTAAAAATATTATACAATGTGAATATACAACCCTAAAAAAAAAAAAAAAACATTTTGGCTTTGCAACAATTCAGTATTTTAGAGCTTAAGCTTTTTATGTTCTTTGTATATATACTGCTGAATGCCAGTGCATTTCAAGGGCGCTTCCTAGCATTGTTACATTTCTCAACTCTAACGTGTTTAAGCATTTACCAATAGGCCAAAATAGATGGATATACAGGGGATTAGGGGAAGAAGTAGGTTAAAAGGAAAGCATTGTGCTTCTTTGGTTTTAAAGCTAGAAGATTAACAACAATAAACCAAAATATTTTAAAATAAAAACTAAACTTAGGTTTTAGTGTAAATTATAAAAGGAATAACGACACAATCAGCAATTCAAAAGTCATAACAATCTTCAAAACTCATGTCTAATTATCCATAGAATAAAAAATATGGGAGTGAAAGGCTTAACAATGTTCAATCGATCAAGATCATCTTACCTTTAAAATTAAATTGGCTATTTGCTCTAGAGCTTTCTCTGCATCGGTAACCTTTTCATCATTGTCTTTAGAACTAATAATGATAACACGCTCTTCATGTCTCTGCCCAATAGGAAAACATGAGATTGGATTCAGTAAACACCAATTAACATGAATAATACACATTTATCCTAAATTAATTAAATGATCATAAACTATAATGTCAATTTAAGCACTTCAATCCAAATATTAACCCTTCATTAACAATCAGCAAAACTGAATGACCTTTACATCATTTGACACACATCTGATATGATAATATTAACAAACGTTATAGTTATGATGAGGATAGAGTAGGATTTTTTTATATAAACATCCATATTCAGATAAGGATAAGGATTTTTTATTTTGGTTACTAGTAGGAGAGATTAATGTGGGAAAAATATCCCACACCTCTGCCAATGCATTTGTAGTTTTTGTTGACAATAATAAATAATTATACAACAAATTCTTTTCCTTTTCTCTACGCTATCAACGCTACAGGAATCATGGCAAAAACAGTCTTGACGAGAGCCAACCAAGGCCAGGCATCCTTTGGAGAAATAGTTGACAGTACTTCTCAGGCAAACTGATGTCGTGCCACAATAATAAGCAGGACTGATTCTTCATATCCTACCACCACCAACAGTCTTCAATCATCTTCTCACAAATTGAATGGTAAAAAATAACTAGTGTGCGCAGACTGTGAAGCTTGTGATTGATGAAAAATGGAAATTAGGACATCTGAATGGCAAAGTTAAACAACCAGCATTAGATGACCCTACCTATGTAATGCAGATATACACAAACCCAATATAAGAGAAGTTTTCTCAGAAGAAGCAAGGAGTTACAGATGAATCTTACGATCAAGAGGCAAGATCAAGAATTGAAGGTTCAGCCTTGGTTTACAGAGGTGTAGAGTCGAATGGAGATTGGAAGAATAAAAAGAAACCGTGGTGTTGTCCTTGCATGGAGCCATGGCATACATATGAGATGCTGGAAAATACAGGGTAAGCCCACAAATTGGAATGAAAAGTGAGAGGGTTTAGCATTTTCGTTGTGGGATAGGCAAGAACAAACAACTACCTTAGGAAGTGAAACTGTGGAAAATGACAATGCAGGCACCTTAGGAAGCGACATTGTGGGAAATGAAAATGCAAGAACAGAAAAGGATGCAAAAACAAATGAGAAATCAGAATAGCCGTGTGTCTTCACAATAAAGAGATATTTTCAAGGAAGAAGGCCTCTCATTGAAGCAAGACCAACAGTCCAACCCGGGCAAAAAGACTGAACCCGACCAAACTGTAAGGTAAAACCTCCTCTAATCCAAATGATTCTGAATCCAAGTATGTCGGGTCATTCAATATTCCAATTGCTCATGGAAAGAGGGGGGGGGGGGGGGCGTTCAAACATGCATTAAGCATCCCATTCCCGAATGTGTAATATGAAAAATTGTCACCCCCATTTAAAATGTTTATCTTACAACAATCTAGCATAGAAATTCCAAAAATTGTACAGGATGCTCTAATTGTTCAAAAAAATGGAGGGAAGCTATCTCAGAAGAGCTCGAAAGAGATGAAGGATCTTGAAAAAATGAGAGACTTGGACGTAGTAGACTTTCCGAAAAGGAAAACTATCACTGTAAAGCACAACTCAGATGAAACATTAGAAAGATACAAGTGCATAGCTTGTAGCTAAAGGGTTTACACAAACCTATGATATACACTACTCAGACATTTTCCCGTACCTAAACACAATACAGTTAGACAGAGTACTCTTATAAATGGCTGCTAACTTAGATTGGCCACTCCAACAGTTAGATGTAAAACCTGCATTCCTGAATAGGGATCTTGAAGAAGTAAACATGGACTCACCACCTGGCTTCAATAAAAGGTGTGATTCCAAGGTATGCAAACAGAACAAGTCCTTGTATGGCCTAAAACAGTCACCTAGAGCGTGATCTGAGAGATATATTCAGTTTGTAAAGAAGCAGGAATTTTCCCCGGGGCAGATAGATCATACACTATTTATGGAGTTCTCACCATCAAGGAAGGTTATTATTTTAATTATCTATATTGACGAGATAATGCTTAATAAATAGGGATGGCATTCCTAAAATGGAGAGATTGAAAAAGCACCTAGCATCAGAATACGAAATTTAAGACTTAGGATCACCAAGATACTTTCTAGCCATGGAGATTGCTCAGACAGAGAAATAAATTATCGTTTCACAAAGGAAATATTTTAGTAGAAACTGGAACAAGTGGCGGTAGACCAGCGAAACACCAAAGGAGCCAAACCAGGAGTTTGGGGATGATTAAAAAACTGGTTCCGTACAAGCACCAGTGGGGAAGCACATCTGCCTATCCTACAGATGATCGGACATAACTTTCCTTGTTACTGTAGTAAGCTGGCTCACGCATCCCCCCAATGAAGAAGGTTTTAGGGCTGCCTTCAGAATTTGGAGGTGTTTAAAGAAAAATCCTAGAAAAGAGCCATTTTTCAAGAAAAATATGCTTAGAGGAGTTGCAGTCTATAAGGATGCTGACAGGGCAGGATCTGCCACTGATAGGTAACAAAGCTGCAGTCAGCATGTGAAATTTATACTAAGAAGACCAATTGAAGGATCAGTGAAATTTATACTGTGATAACAAAGCTGCAGTCAGCATTGAACACAATGATAGGGGAAGTGAAGGAAAACATATGGAGATTGACAGGCATTCCCCAAAAGTTATATAGATATGCATGCCCCTTTGTTCCAACAACAAAGCAATCTGCTGACATCCTGACCAAATGACAACTCCCACGACCATAGTAGTTAAAATCTCGATTTATCACTACAATTTTATGTTTTTTATGATTTTTTTTCATCAAAACGATTTTACCAATATTCTAAAAGCTTTTACGTTTTTACGATTTTTTAAGTTTTACGAATTTTTATCCCCCTTCCGATTTTACGTAAAATCTCACTTTTAACTACCTTGCCCAGGAGCACATTTAAATTTTTTAATAAGTTGATCATGAAGGATATCTATGCACCAACTTAGGGGAAGTGAAGGAAGTTATATAGTTGGAATGAGGATAAGAGTAGGATTTTTTTTTGTTTAAAATATAGGATATTCAGATAAGGATAAGGCCAAGTTTTTTTGTTTTTTGATTGGGAAAAATGTTTGTTAGTTATGTCATTTATAATGAAACTACGTCGTTTTGGTAAGTTTTTACATTCTCCTTTTTCTTTTTATTTCTAATTTATAAATTAAAGAAAATGATAAAACACACCAATGACACAAAGTTGTGTCATTTAAAACTAGAAACACTAAACCCTTTTTGGTTTCCCAATAGATATAGAACAGTAGTTCTTTCTACCCAGATTTTAACTACAAAAAAATAATAATAATAATAACGCAAAAAACAAATTCTCTCGTTCTTTTTATTTCAGCTTTACCAAACGGATGCCTCAAACAGAAAAACATCAATTCAACTCCCCAAAAGCAAAATTAAATACAGAACAATAGTTCTAACTTCTAAACAATTTTTTCCCTCGCTTATCAGCTATTAAATAGCTGCCACAAACAAAAAAAAAACATGAATTTAACTCCCCAAAAGCCCCAAACCCAGATTAAATACAGACGATTAGTTCTACCCGGAATTAAAACCAAAAAAATTAAACCTAATTTTTTCTCTAGCTTTCTCAGCTACCAAACAGATTCAAAAAAGGTAATACACTTACGGCGATAGCGTCGGCGATTTTGATGGTGGCCTTGGTCTCTTCTCGAATCCTCTGTATGCGGCAACCTTCCTTCCCGATAACCTTACCGATCTGCCGCGACGGCACGACGATCCTGAATATCACGTCCTGCCCCTTTACGCGCTTGGCCGCTGACTGCTCCGCCGCCGCGGCGGTTCCCGGAGCCTCATCCTCGCGGCGGCGCTTTCCGGAGGCGGGATTTCCGGCGGAGTCTTGGACGGTATAGGGAATCTGAAGCGGCATGTGAAAGGGCATCTGCATCTGCATGGGGATGGGTATGGGCATGGGCATGTTGGGCATCTGCATCTGCATGTGCATATGCATGGGAACCTGCATAGGAATTGGTGGCATTGGGTTCTGCTGAGGAACCAGGGGGTTTATCGGAATTTGACCTTGCTGCGACATCGGTGGTTTTGTTTGGGAATTTGGAAGAAGAAAAAGATCAAACGATTTCGCAGGGGAGGAAAATATAGGGTTTTATCCGTGTCCAATTACCAAAATGCCCTTTATTTGTTGTATTTTAAATTTTAATTGAAGAAAGATATTCTAACAACCAAGTTATATTACTATCATGTTACTACCAATCAATCTTACCGTTAGATCGTTTATGTTGATCTAACAGTTATATTTATTTCCATCTTTTTATGGTCATGATTTTCCAAATTTAATACTTTATATTTATTTTCACACCTTTGTATGGTTATGATTTCTCATATTTAATGCTTTCACTTTAAATATGGGGAATTATAACTATACAAATATAAAAATAAATATAACCGATGGATCAACATAAGTGATCTAACGGTGAGATTGATTGGTAGTAACATGGTAGTAACACAACTTGGTTGTTACAATATCCTTTCCCATTTTAATTTTCTTTTAATTAACAAAGGTTTTTCTTTAAGAGGAGGAATATTCTCACTATCAAAAAATTTCACTATCAATTTACTACCTATCTAATTATCTTTAGGTTAACATTTTTTCTTTCTTCAAAAACTTTTTAACATTCTTTCTCTTTAATCTAATGGTGATGTAATAAGTAGTAAGTTAGTATTCTTTCTCTTTAATCTAATGGTGATGTAATAAATAGTAATTTAGTAGTAAGAATTGTTGGTAGTTAGAATATCTTTGCTCTTTCTTTAAAGAATAAAAAGTTTATAATAAGAGAAAAATATCTTATTAAATGTATTTTATACACACAAATATCAATTAGCAAAATGATTTTGGGCATAACGTGTGACCAAGACAACATGATTAACACAACACGAGTTGTTTTGCACAACAGTCCCATCCCCTTGAACTCATAAGAATGAAGCCAATTGCTTGCACTTATAAGTAGGGGTGTCAATATAGGTTTTGACACGCGGATCGACCCACGACACGACACGAAAATTCGTGTTCGGGATGACCCACAAAAAAATTCGTGTCGTGTTAGTGTTGAGAAAAATGACACGTAAAAAATTTGTGTCGTGTTCGTGTTGATGTATTCGTGTTCGTGTCGACCCGTATTTTTTTAAAATTATTTTATTTTTAATTTTTTTATTTTAATTTTTTTATTTTTTTAATTTCGATCCATTTTTTTATTTTTTTTGTCAATTACCGTTTTGACCCTTATTTTGAGTGTTATTCGTGTCGTGTCGTGTCAACCCGCAAAAAAATCGTGTCTTGTCAGTGTTGAAGATTTTGACACGAATAAAAATTCGTGTCGTGTTAGTGTTGATGTATTCGTGTCGTGTCAACCCGTTTTGACACCCCTACTTATAAGTACACAGATCAAACCACCGAGGATGCGTGTCTGATTCCCTCACAACACTTTCGTTCACGTGTTGACACGACACCATCATATCAACACACCAGCGGAGCAAGAGTAGCTATTAGTAAGCAAAGTATATGGTAGTTTTTGTTCCGGTCACGGAATTGAGCATGTATATATGATGGGTTTTATAAGAGTTATGTTGTAGGAAAAGTGATTGTGTAATGTTATAGAGATTCGTTTTGCGTGCCTTAATTTTTTATTTATTTTTTTGTTTTAAAAAGTGTGGGCCCCACAAAATATTGTGAGTGTAGGAAAGTTTGTTGTGTTATGTTAAAGGATAAAACGAAAACCCATATATGATATCGGTATATATGATATCGGTCAGAGCATGTGTTCGATTTTTTTTAATATTATTTTTGTGAAAAATTTAAAACTTTAATATGGAAACCCGTCTCAATTTAGACAAGTCGCAAAATGATAAATCAATTAGAATATTAAAAAAAAAAAGAGCAGCTATTTGTAAGCACCATCAACCACAACAGAGGAATTACGGGAACAACAAAAGTAGGGAAGGGGGTGGGAGATTCTACTTGAAACTTTGATGCATCAATCATAAAGGATTGAATAAATTAAATAAGTCATGTAACCATATAATATGCTCTTAGGGGCTTGTTTGGTGTGACGTATAAGATCTGATAGCGTAAGTTTATACTATACGTTATGACATTTTCAGCTGTTTGGTGTGACCACCGTATAGTATAAGCTTATACAGTAGGATCCCTTAATACATCAAAACGATGTATAACTTAATCCGGCCTAAGAGAGAGGGATAAAGCCTAATAAGAGGTTGGTGTATTAACATCATTGATCAATGACCAGTGTAATTCTCAAAAATTAATATAATTTTAATATTAAAATATTAAAATAAAAATTAATTTTTCAATATATTAATTTTTTAAATATTTAATATTTTTATTTTAATCAAAATTAATTTATGTTTTGGACACACGAATCAATAAATTTTTATAAAAATTAATATCATATAATATTTTTTAAAGAATTATATAAATTCTTTATTAAAGGATATTTTTATTAAAAATATTTACTTTTATCCTATATAATATTATACAGTGTATTACTAACTACTAGATGATATTATCTTATACAATATATTATTTTATACAATACCGCGTCAAACGCTTGATAGTATTAAAATTCAATCAGGTCTTATACAATCAGGCCTTATACTATCAGGTCTTATACTATCAGGCCTTATCCTATACTATGCACCAAACATGCCCTTAGTGGGTAGATGATGGATATGTATCCACAAAGATTAGACGTTTAAATTATCATGTGTAATTAAATTTTGAAAAAAATGTTTTCTTCTTAAAGAATAAGAATTGTGTCATTTTTTATTTTTCATTTGTATTTATTGAAGGCTAAGGCCCAAAGAAAATAATTACATAATCATAATATCACACAGTGATACTACTCCAGCATTCTCAGAAAGCAAGTCTATGAGTTCTGGTGTAATATTATTAAAAAATTGAAAACCTAATCTACTTGATAAGTCTTGTCTCATAAGCCAATATGCACATCCATTGTGTTGTATGTGCAAATGATTATTTTTAATAAGCTAATCTTTTCGGATCCATTCCTGTGTTTGATAACATATATGTGATTCCCTTGCTTCAAAAGAATGTGTCTCTAGGATAAAAAATGCAAGTGTTCAGTCTCCCTCAATGATCAGTTTCTTGATTCCTAAGCTCAAAGCAAGTTCCATTCCTTTGAGAATTTCCTATAATTCAGCTTCCATGAGGTTATAGTATGTAAATGAACTCGTGCTGGCTTCGTTCGAAAACTAAACAATGTTGCATCAAAACTCTGTCGCGACCAGGTTCCTTTTCAGCAATGCTATAGCAAGACTCTGCTCTCTGACTTCAGCTTGCAAGGGACTCTCTCTCTAAATGTGGGTGGGGTACTACATTATTCCCTGCCTTCTCGAATTCGTAAGGTAATCCTCTTTAAATAGGAAAAATAATGGGTTACTTGGTCCTCGAGATTGGGAGTGAAAATCCACGAATTGTGCTGCTGCAGCCTTATTTTATCCCTATTTTCTCGGGTTGTTGACACTTTATTGGATAAGATCTTTATCTTCTTAATTTAATTTGAAAATGATGTGCTTAGAAGATAAGAGCTTATCATCCTTGATTGCTAGGATTTGAGATATGATTTGATCTTCCAAATCGTCCACATTTCTTCCTTGCTGGTGTATGGTTTGTTTGTTAGGATCATAACTAACTTTTGAAATTTGAATTTTAGTTGTTCCAATGTCCTCGTTGTCATGCCGTCCTGATTGCTATATCATTACTTAACTCGTCAGCTTTTCTGCTACAGCACTCGGGCATCAACTTTTCCTGCAAAGTAAAGTCACTCAACAAGTCATCTATTCTTACACAAAATCAAGGAATATTATCTCATTTTCCATACTTAGTCATCTCAAAGCACTTAATCATGAATATGCAATAATTAGCTCAATTATCATTCAAATAAGACAATTTATATGGAAATTATGCAGCAAATTCATCATAAAAATACCAAATTAACTCTCATTTGGGAGAGTTAACAGTAGCCTTCTAAGTCAGTCTTGGATAATCTTAATTCCAAGTATCCGTTTTGCAAGGCCGAGATCCTTCATTGCGAAGGACGAGCTTAACACTTTCTTTAGGGAGGCTATCTACATCTTGTCTTACCCTACAATCAGCATGTCGCCAACATATAACAACAAAATTAGAAAATCTCTTGCCTCATACTTTTCACAAATACGCAGTGGTTGGCCTCTGTCTTTGTAAGAACCCGCACCGTTAAATAAGGTATTTAATTAATTAATTATGCAAAATTGGGAAATGATTCCATAATTGACCCTAATAATTATTATGAGACTCTAATAATTATAGTAAGTGATTTAGAATGCTGAAAGTCATTTTTCGGAAGAAAAGTGTGGATACCGGTTCTGCTAGTCGGTATAAATGTGTACCGAAAAAGTACCCCGGAAAATTAATGTAAGTGCATGATAATTACTAGAATAATACATAGGACTTGTAAAACGAGTTTCAAGTCTAAATAATGAGAACTGGTGCCTGAAACTGATACTGGCTATGGAGAAGCGCATACCGGAAAGTTGTTCCGAAAAATATAATAAAAATATGATAATTCTTGTAAAATTAAGTAGGTTAAGAATCATAAGTTTGGGATTAAAATGCTAAGCGTAGCAATTAAAGCTAATATTGTATGTTTTATTTTAAAGTGGCTATATTTACGGCTTTTAAGGGCACACAACCCTAGATAACTAATTCTTGAACGTGGCTTGGGAGAGGGTGGCTGACCATAATAGTGCCTCTTGGTTTCTTCTCCATTTTCTTGACCAAGGTGTCACCTTTACTTGATTTCTTCCATCTTTGAGCTTGCAAACACTTGGTTAGGGTGAGGGTGAGCTTTGAGAGGGTTGTGACCAACTATTTTTCTGAGTTTGGAGGCTGTCTTGGAGTACCCTGAGGGCTGTCTTGTTGACTAGAGTGTTGAGGGGCTTTGTTCTTGCCTTGTCATTGCTCCAAGGAGCAATCTTTGTGAAGAAAAGAGTTATCTTGTGATACATTTTC